AGACCTTTTGAACAGAATAGAGGACCTGGATATGAATCCACACAACTATACCCACCTTATTTTTGACAAAGTTGCCAAAAATATATGATGGAGAAAAAACAGCCTCTTCAACAAATGGTGCTGGGAAAATTGGTTATCTGTCTGCAAGAAACTGAAGCTAGATCCATGTTTATCACCCTGTACTAGTATCAACTCAAAATGGATCAAGGACCTTAATATCAAACCTGAAACTCAAAATTTAGTACAGGAAAGAGCTGGAAACATTCTGGAAGTGATGGGTATAAGCAAGGACTTCCTCAATAGAACGCCAGCAGCTCAGCAACTAAGAGAAAGAATGGACAAATGGGACTTCATAAAATTAAAAAGCTTCTGCACAACAAAAGAAATTATCTCTAAACTGAAGAGACTACCCACAGTGGGAGAAAATATTTGCCAGCTATACATCAAAGGGCTGATAACCAGAATACGCAAGGAACTTAAGAAACTAAACTCTCCAAAAATCAATGAGCCAATAAAGAAATGGGCAACTCAACTAAACTTTCTCAAAAGAAGAAATTCAAATGGTCAAAATACACATGAAAAAATGCTCACCATCTCTAGCCTTAAAGGAAATGCAAATCAAAACCACACTAAGATTCCACCTCACCCCTGTTAGAATAGGCATCATCAAAAACACTACCAACAACAGGTGTTGGCAAGTATGTGGGGAAAAAGGAACCCTCATATACTGCTGGTGGGAATGCAAGCTGGTGCAATCACTTGAAAAAAAATTGGAGGCTTCTTAAAAATTTAAACATAGATCTGCCATATGATCCAGCAATCCCACTCCTGGGGATATACCCAAAGGAATGCAGCAAAGGTTACTCCAGAGGCACCTGCACACCCATGTTTATTGCAGCGCTATTCACAATAGTTAAGTTATGGAAACAATCAAGATGCCCCACTACTGATGAATGGATCAAGAAAATGTGCTATTTATACACAATGGAATTTTACTCAACCATGAAAAAGAATGAAATCTTATCATTCACAAGTAAATGGATGGAACTGGGAACATCATTCTGAGCAAGGTTAGCCAGGCTCAGAAGACCAAAAATTGTATGTTCTCCCTCATATGCAGAGTTTAGATCTAGGGCAAATACAGCAATGTTGTATATGGTGATAGGTGGAAAACCCAAAACATGAAAGCATTTGATGTCCCCACTCCAGAGGAACTAATACAGAAACCTTAAAGTGACAGAGGTCAACACAAGAAGGGCATCAAGAACCAGGGTAAAGATCAGTTAGAGATGAATCAACTTGGGTTGTAACACATTTGTATATGGAAGCAATGCTAGGAATCTCTCTGTATAGCTATCCTTAACTCAACTAGCAAAGATGCTTTGTCTTTCTTATTATGTTTATGTCTTCTCTTCAAGTATGATACATTTGATATATTATAAGAAATTTTGTAAACACCACAATGTAGCCCACCCAGTATAACAATAAAAATAAATAAATTAAATTAAATAAATAAATAATTAAATACTCTCTTGGAAAATAATAAACTAGATTGTAAAAGAAAACTTTCTCACATTTAACTAATATTTTTATAGTTTTATAATATTTTTACATTAGTAAATATATTTTCCATCCATATTGTTAATAAAAGAAGATGAAAATCCTGTGATCTATTGATAAAGCTAAGCAATTGAATTCATTATATGATTACTTGCAGAAAGGCTAACAACATTACCTTAGATGAGTCTTAACTCATTCCCCTATATTAAACATATGTATGGAATTCAATTTATTCATTCATCTTTTCACATGCATTGTAAGAGAGAAAAGGCAAGTGTGGCATATCATGAATGCATGATTCATTCATTTACTCAGCAAATGATTATCAAATGCTTGGTATTGGTGCACAATACTGTTCTCAATGACAAGGGGCAGTGAAAACAAGACAATATCTCTGCCATAAAATGAAGAGAAACAGACAATAATAATGTAACATAGTGCTTTATGTAATATGTCAGAAAATGACATGTGCTGTGAAAAATAAAAAAGGCAAACAAAGGAGAGCACGGGTGCCACAAGATGGAGAGGTAGGCTTTGTAATTTTAAAAGCCTGGGTCAGGGAAGAGCACACTGAGAAGTTGATAGGTGAGCAAAGGGGAGAGGAGGTAAGGAAGTTAGCTAAGTGAACATTTGCAGAGGAGCAGTACAGAAGGTAACAAAAAGCACAAAGAAGGCTTTATATGAAGTAGAAAGAGACTCAAGTTCAAGAGGAAAGCAAGGTGCCTAGAGTAGCTAAGTACCAAAGGCAGAGAGGCAGCAAGTTGGGGAGGTATAGATTGGGAATGTGCATGGAGGCATGAAACAAAGCATCCTGGGCAAAACTTCCATTGATGGCTTAGAGGTAGAAGACTGCTCTGGGTAGATTATTTTCTACTAGGGAGTCTTTTAATGATCTATATTAAAGGAAGTACCCCTGTGGTCCCAAATAAAGACAGACGACTGGAAGAATTACATTTCATTTGAGAAGACCATCAAGCTGATCTCTGAATATTGACCTTGTGTAGTATTAAACATGAGTCTTTTTTTTGAACAGTTACTAAATTTTTATGTTAAAACATTTTCATTAGCATACATTAATTATTCAGAGGAGTTCACTGTGATCTTTACATACATACATATATATAATGCACTTGGATCAAATTTGCCCCCTCTATTACTTTTTCTTATTTTCTGTCCTTCCCCCCTCCTTTTTTCACAATTTAATGGGTTTTATTGTTGAATTTTTATGCATACATGTAACGTATTTTGATTATATTCTCTCTCCAACACTCTCTCCTTTCTCCCTCCCTACTCCACTGCCCCCACAATAGTCATGTTTTTTAAGGTCTAGTTTCTATATATAAGAGAAAATGTGATATTTGTCTTTTTGAGTCTGGGGTAGTTTTCTTAACCTGCTAATCTCTAGTTTCATCCATTTTCCTGCAAATGACATAATTTTGTTCTTCTAAAGGGCTGAATAATACTCCATTGTGTATCTATTTCACATTTTCTTTACCATACACTGTGTGACTGGCACAGTGAATAGTAACTGCACCTTATTATTGCATAGTCATAGTCTCAGTGGGACAAGGCCCCTCCAAACATGAGTCTTTTAGTAAGACAAAATTTCACATTCTTTATATTCTTTTTATAATTTGTTCTGCTTCTCTGAGTCTGTGCCAGGGTGTACTTGAAGGAAGGAAACGTGTTCTGTAAGTCCCCAGTTTTTCCAGCCTGCTCTCAACTAAGCAAAGTATACACAAGGAAAGAAAATATACAGGATTAATGCGCAAGTTATTATGATAAATTAATAGAACCAATATTCTTATTTCTTTTTTAGTCAAAGCTATTACTGTTAATGTTACATCTGTTCATATGAGCTTCAGTTTCACTGCATGTATGCCAGTGATTCTAACTCTATCTCCCCCAATGTACACTAAGGTGACAAGGACACTTTTCATTTTCAACCCACTCACAATTGCTCAATGCTCTGTAAACACACTTCTCTGGAAATGACATTGGTTTAGAACTGTCCAGAGGTAATAATGCTTTTACAGTTTTTAGTGCAAGATAGAGCCAAATGAAGCAGAAGCATCCCACCTTCATCCAGTAAGCACCTATGGACTATAAAGAGTAACACAGTGTGTTATTATAGTTTCTTTCATTTAACTGGACTTTTTCACCATAGTTTATTGTCATCATTGGAATTATAATGTCTTGTGTAGTTTCACAGTTCACCAAATATTGTCACATGTATCAGCTTCACCTCTCTGTCACCTTTTTTAATTTTAATTTTAATTTTTTAATTAGGATATATTCATTATACATGGGGGATTCATTGTGACAATTCAATTAGACCTAATTGTATATTACATCATGCCCATTTTCTCTCCCCCTCAACCCTCTCTCCACCCCACTTAAAGCAATTGCAAGAGGTTTCCTTGTTCTATTTATGTAAGTATATAAAGTCACCAACCATATTCTCTCACCTTAATCTCCTTCATTCTCCCTCCCCTCCAATACCCCACACATATACAGTACATATCGTATAATCCTGTCAATTTTTATTAATATTTAAGTTGATGTTTAAAGGGGTTTCTCAGTGTAGGCCCATGTGGGTATACTTTACTTTAGTCCATTAAACCCCTTACATTATAATACTCAAAAATGTTTATCAAGGGGTTAGGAGTGGGGCTCAGTGATAGAGCATTTACCTAGTATGCACTGGGCCCTGGGTTCTACCCACAGCACTACAGAAAAAGAATATGTCAGTTTAGCTTCAGTTTAGAGGGGAGCCCAATAAAGTATTCCTCATACTCAGAAGTGCATGTTTATCTTCATATCATATTTCATAGTTTAAACTAGTTTTCTATTGAAAACATGCAAATTTTAGTTTTGTACTGATCTACTTATATTAATGTAACAATGGGCTCTTTTTTGTTTTCATAATTCCATAAAAATAGATTCTAATATCCCAAGATCCCTTAAAAAGTAAACAGGATGGTAAACCACTATTGGTAAAATATTTCATATCACTCAGGTAAAATGAAATATGACTGTTTATCAAATAGGGGTCATTTCCTTATAGAATAAATTAAATAAATTGGGCATTATATTCTTAATGGTTAGTAAACTAAGAACAATAAATATGCATACATGAGATATTACAACCAAATGAACTGCTATATTCTTTATAATAAACAAATATAAGAAAATGTTAACTTTTAAATGGTAGAGGAACTGCTTCCAAACTTATTTTGTTTAAAATTATGTGATACATTTAATTTCCTTATCTTATTGAGTCATTTAGCATGAATTTTGGGTGAATAAACATAATATACTCTGGCTTACCAAGAAAAGATCTGGAACATAAATTTGCATTTATTGCATTTTTAAAGTCAAGACTATTAATTTCATCAAATCATGTAATTTATTTCTTTTTTTCCTTAAAAATATTAAAGTTCTGGTTAATGACCTAGATCAGCTTCAGATTACTACTTTTCAAGCATTTGGAAAATTTGAAAAGGTGGATGAAAGAATATGGATGGCCCTCAAATTTATCTGGAATTGATTTTTTTATAGTGAAGTAGTTAATATGTTACAAAAATAAATGGTTGGCAGTTTACTTTCACTGCCCATCAGGTAAAATAAAAACCAGTGACTCTGTAACAAGATCAGAGTTCAAGGAATCAAGGGTTTGGGCTCCCATTCTTTTCTGTTTCTCTTTACACCATGAGTCAACTTGGAATTCAGCTGCCCAAGCCTGTCTTGATTCTACTTTTTCTGCTTCTTCCCAGAGATGCTTCGGCTACTGCAAAACCGTAAGCAATATTTTCAGAAAATTAGGTCATCCTCCTTTTATCCTATCTACTTCTTGATCTTTGTTTCTTGATTTCCTATGCAATTTTATTACATCAAAAGGACTTGAAAGAATCAGTAAGTTTTTATCACTCATGTGGAAGGAGACATACTCCAATTCTAGAATGTGCAGAGACAGAAAGCAGGGGCACTTGTCAAAACTTTATGGAATAATAATGTAAAATTCCTTCTCAAAAAAAGAACAATTTGTGTATTCCTATACAAGAATGAATATAGAATTTCTAAACCTGTTCAACAATCATAGAAGGGGACTAAGGTAGAAAGAAGAAAAATATAAATGAACCAATTCAGGTTATAATAAATATATACATGGAAATGTCACAAGGAAACTCCCTGTGTAGCTACCTTAAACAAACAAAAATGTCACTTTTTTTCCTTTTCAAAAATCAAGGAATAGGAGGGCAGAACAGGTCTTATCTGGGGAATTGGTACCACTGGGAGTAGGGGAGGAGGAAGTGGGGAAAGCATATAGAAGGGTGAATATGGTGCAAATACTGTGTACACATGTGTGTAAATGGAAAAATGATAGTTGTTGTAATTGTTCCAGGAATGGGGAGGTAGTGGAGAATGGTGAAGGAGATGAATTCAAGTACAAACTTTTGTAAATGTCACAATGCACCCCCAGCTCAACAATAAAAAACACTAAATTTTTTAATGGTTCATAAATGGGCTGAGTGTTCTAGTCACTGTGAAGTGACTTGGTGTCTGTGTTTTCCCCGAGTCAGGGATGGCCAAGGCAGATGCATGACCTCCAGACAAACTAGGATTTGTGTGTCAGTTCACTCAATTCTTTAGCAAACTTTTAGGGTCTGGCATAAGGTTTGGGGAATATACAGACCAAATTCAGACTCTTCCCTCAATATCTCACAGTATAAGAAAAGAAAGAGATGGGGCACAGAAAATAAAATATTGCCCCAAAGCAAAGAAGCACTGCAGGATTCCATGATTAAAAAAAAAAAAAAAAAACAAAGAAAAGCCAACTCTTCATGGGACCTGATATAAGAAAAGGGGCATTGACCAATTCAGCACAGGAAAAGTTGTTTTTGAGGTAAGTCGGTTGAAGCAAACAAAAGTTTTCCAGATAGGGCCTTCAGAAAGAGAGAGGAGAGAGATATGTACAAGCATGCTTGGGGACTGTGAGTGAAATGTGAACAGAGATAGGGAAGAGTGGTATTTTATTCTGTAAATATGTGGACTTGTCTGGTGATTAGCCTTTCTCAGCTTAGGTTGGCTTCAGTCACCGTAGAAGAAAGGGCAAAGGTTTCTTCTTAAACTGAAGTGAAAACCAATTCAGCTTTTTTTTAATGTGCTAATTGTAGTTTTTCTGTTTCCTGGAACAAAGAAATTTGTGGTGTCCACATGAAACCTAAGGCCACATACAGACAGATATTTTAATGCCTTCAATGATGACTCATTGATTAATTCATAGTTTGTAAATTTGGAATTTCTATCCCAAATATAGAATAACTCATGAATTGCTTACTCAAGGTTTTCTAATGTCTTAACTGTGAATATTTCCACAATGTATGAGAGGAACATCAGTGTTTTAATTGTGGATTTTCTGAGTTCCTCAGGTCTTTTATGTTGGCTCTTAAAGAACACGGTTCTGCTGAAATCTGGCTCTGCTTTATGATTGGTGATTATATGAGGATTGTCTAAGAACCAGCCACAATAATGATGCTTTTTGAACCCCTCCATAATTGGTCCTCTTCTCCACAGACAATATGTGGTGTTGGTCCCATCACGACTGTATGCTGGGATTCCTGAAAAGGCCTGTGTCAACCTCAATCATCTGAATGAGTCAGTGACACTCAACGTAATTCTGGAGTATGAAACACAAAGCAGAAACCTCCTCACAGACCTGGTGGTGGAGAAGAACTCCTTCTACTGCAGCCCTTTCACTGTCAGTATCCCGGCTAGACTCAAGGGGATCAATAGAAAAAGAGTGTGCTAATTGATACTTTATTTTTTCAACTCTCAAAAATTAAAAAGAAACTATAATGAAGGAAAAATGATGAACACAAAGTAAATTTCAAATTAATACTCTAAGAATATTAGCATATTACACATATGCTTACATAATACTTACAAAAGATATAATGCAATATTTGAAAGGTAATAGTAGCTGTAGAAAGGATTTAGCCTGGCCTTAAAATGAACTTCTCAGATCAATAATTTTCATGATATTGTTTGTATAAATACTGAGATTCTTAAGGTCAAGTGGCTTATCCAACACCTTTCTGATGATGCCTGCTATTGACTTTTGGAAAATGAAATATAATAATTATTTTAATACTCTCATATTTTGGGGAAATTGCAAGGATGCCATGTCTTTTACTGTCATGAATGTATTAAAGAATTAGTTCATTTTATTATATTTTCACCTTCAATTGAATTAGTGAATTGTTAGTGTCATTTACACACTCACAGCAACAAAACATAGGATAGAGTTCTTGACCTTGTCCCTTACTAATTCTCCAGGACTTACCAGGAAAACAGAAATCATAAAAGGTAAGACATTCAGAAGTGGGTCTGGGCAGATCCTTCACTCATTTCTGTTTTGCAGATCCCAGAGATGCCATCTTCCTCAGTATTCATTACTGTGCAGGTAAAGGGGCCAACCCACCATTTCATAAAGCGGAAACCAATGAACATAATACAAGTAGAAAACCCAGTCTTTGTCCAGACAGACAAACCCATATACAAACCAGGACAAACAGGTATGAGGAACCAAATGAGCAAGGGCAACTTTGGGGGAGAGGGTTCTCACTGGGGGCTTCATGGGGGAAATCTTTGTGTTTCAGTGAGATTCCGCATTGTCTCCATGGATGTGAATTTTCACCCATTGAATGAAACGGTGAGTCTCAGAGTGCGTGTGGTTGAGGAAATAGGAAAACAAGGCCCATTAATTTGGAAAACCTAAGATCAACATAAGAGATACTTAAATTTCATAAAAGGATCTCATGAGTATTCTTGCCAGAAAAATGTAGATGGTTGGAATCAAGTGCATTTGAGAAGTAACTGAAGTACTCATTTGAAGCTGGCCTCTTAGAAATTCCCATTATTCTTATTGAACAAAAGAAGTGTCATTTGATTTCTCTCCTAAACAAATACCATCTACAAAAGAAATACCATTGCAAAACAATAATACAATTATCATTTAGATCTTTTATTCATTTGGGTTTCTTTAATTTGTATGTTATTTCACAAAAAGAAAGACATGGCTTCATAAGAGATTCATGTCCCAAACTAAGCATCCAAAGTGCTGTAACTCAAACAGGGAGCATTTCCTAGTTTAGACAAGAAATGTAAAGTATTCCTAATTCCACTGGTTCATAAACTTTATCAATGCTGATGTCCTGATTTTCTCTTTCTAGACTGTATCACACATTCATACTATTTTTCTCTTTCTTTTCAGTTCCCAGTTGTTCACATTGAGGTAGGTAATATATTGTACAGCTCAGTAGGAATGAGGAACACTATGGGTTACATTAATTACCTTTCTCCTTCCTGTCCCCAGAACTAAACAAGTGCTATTTCCCTATCTATCTCAAATTCTTTAGAAATGTGGATAAGATGTAAATGAAGGAGTAAGATTCCTTGAGATGATGTAATTTACTGACTCTTCAAATACTTCTGGCCAAAACAGATATGTATAATATCAAAAAGAAGTACCCAAATAAAATATATATACAGTATCTCATAGCCGAAAACTTACTATCCTTTTCTCAAACTAGAATTCTTAGAAAATGTTGATAATACCTTCAGTATCAATTTGCCAATCATTTATCATCTAACTTACAATGCCATTCTTATCTGAAAAGCTGCCTCTCTACGCAAAAGTTACATATTTAAATTGTTTCTACAAATGCTTAATATTTTCACCTTTTTTTTTCCTGAATTTTCTTTTTTTTTTTTTTTTTGAGGTACTGGGGTTTGAACTCAGGGTCTCACACTTGCCAGGCAGGCATTCTACCATATGATCCACTCTGCCAGCCCAGAATTTTCTTTCTTTTTTTTTTTTCTTTTTGGAGGTATCGACATTTGAACTCAGGGGTCTCTCACTTGCTAGGCAGATGCTCTACCACTTGAGCCACTCTGCAACCCCTGTTTTATATTGGATTTTTCTCTTTTTTTTTTGCCTGTGGGTTTTTTTTTTTTGTTTAATTCATATGTGCATACAATGTTTGGGTCATTTCTCCCCCTTCCCCCACCCTCTCTGCCTCCCCCCCACCTCCTCCATACCTGGCAGAAACTATTTTGCCCTTATCTCTAATTTTGTTGAAGAGAGAGTATAAGCAATAGTAGGAAAGACCAACGGTTTTTGCTAGTTGAGATAAGGATAGCTATACAGGGAGTTGACTCACATTGATTTCCTGTGCATGTGTGTTACCTTCTAGGTTAATTCTTCCTTGATGTAACCTTTTCTCTAGTTCCTGGTCCCCTTCTCCTATTGGCCTCAGTTGCTTTAAAGTATCTGCTTTAGTTTCTCTACATTGAGGACAACAAATGCTATCTAGTTTTTGAGGTGTCTTACCCATCCTCATATCTCCCTTGTGTGCTCTCTCTTTTATCATGTGATCAAAGTCCAATCCCCTTGTTGTGTTTGCCCTTGATCTAATGTCCGCATATGAGGGAAAACATATGATTTTTGGTCTTTTGGGCCAGGCTAACCTCACTCAGAATGATGTTCTCCAATTCCATCCATTTACCAGCGAATGATAACATTTCATTCTTCTTCATGGCTGCATAAAATTCCATTGTGTATAAATACCACATTTTCTTAATCCATTCATCAGTAGTGGGGCATGTTGGCTGTTTCCATAACTTGGCTATTGTGAATAGTGCTGCAATAAACATGGGTGTGCAGGTGCCTCTGGAGTAACCTGTGTCACATTCTTTTGGGTATATCCCCAAGAGTGGTATTGCTGGATCAAATGGTAGATCAATGTTTAGCTTTTTAAGTAGCCTCCAAATTTTTTTCCAGAGTGATTGTACTAGTTTACATTCCCACCAACAGTGTATGAGGGTTCCACTTTTTTCCTGCATCCTCACCAACACCTGTTGTTAGTGGTGTTGCTAATGATGGCTGTTCTAACAGGGGTGAGGTGGAATCTTAGTGTGGTTTTTAATTTCCATTTCCTTTATTGCTAGAAATGGTGAGCATTTTTTTCATGTGTTTTTTGGCAATTTGAATTTCTTCTTTTGAGAAAGTTCTGTTCACTTCACTTGCCCATTTCTTTATTGGTTCATTAATTTTGGGAGAATTCAGTTTTTTAAGTTCCCTATATATTCTGGTTATCAGTCTGTTGTCTGATGTATAGCTGGCAAATATTTTCTCCCACTCTGTGGGTGTTCTCTACAGTTTAGAGACCATTTCTTTTGATGAACAGAAGCTTTTTAGTTTTATAGGTCCCACTTATCTATGCTATCTCTTAGTTGCTGTGCTGCTGGGGTTCCATTGAGAAATTCTTACCTATACCTATTAATTCCAGAGTATTTCCTACTCTTTCCTGTATCAACTTTAGAGTTTGTGGTCTGATATTAAGATCCTTAATCCATTTTGAGTTAATATTGATATAGGGTGATATACATGGATCTAGTTTCAGTTTTTGCAGACTGCTAACCAGTTTTCCCAGCTGTTTTTGTTGAAGAGGCTGCTTTTTTCTCCATCGTATATTTTTAGCTCCTTTGTCAAAGACAAGTTGGTTATAGTTGTTTGGCTTCATATCTGGATCCTCTATTCTGTTCCACTGGTCTTCATGTCTGTTTTTGTGCCAGTACCATGCTGTTTTTATTGTTATTGCTTTGTAATATAGTTTGAAGTCAGGTATTGTGATACCTGACTTTTGACTGAGTATTGTTCTTTTGACTGAGTATTGCCTTGGCTATTCGTGACCTCTTGTGCTTCCATATAAATTTACCAGTAGATGTTTCAATCTCTTTAATAAATGTCATTGGAATTTTTATGGGAATTGCATTAAACATGTAGATTACTTTGGGGAGTATAGACATTTTTACTATGTTGATTCTACCAATCCATGAGCATGGGAGATCTCTCCACTTTCTATAGTCTTCCTCAATCTCTTTCTTCAGAAGTTTATAGTTTTCCTTGTAGAGGTCATTCACATCCATGTTAGGTTTACATCTAGGTATTTGATTTTTTTTGAGGCTATTGTAAATGGAATTGTTTTCATATATTCTTTCTCAGTTTGTTCATTATTCGTGTATAGAAATGGTAATGATTTTTCTATATTGATTTTATATCCTGCTACCTTGCTCTAGCTATTCATGGTGTCTAGGACCTTTTCAGTGGAGTTTTTTGGGTCTTTAAGGTATGGGATCATGTCATTTGCAAATAGGAAAATATTTTGACATTTTCTTTACCTATTTGTATTCCTTTTCTTCCTTCTTCTTGCCTAATTGCTGTGGCTAGGAATTCCAGTACTATGTTGAATAGGAGTGGAGATTGTGGGCATCCTTGTCTCCGTTCCTGATTTTAGAGGGAATGGTTTCAGTTTTTCGCCATTAGTATAATGCTGGCTGTAGGTTTGTCATATATAGCTTTTATAATGTTGAGGTACTTTCCTTCTATTCCTAGTTTTCTTAGAGCTTTTATCATGAAATGGTGTTGGATCTTATCAAAGGCTTCTTCTGCATCTATTGAGATGATCAAGTGGTTTTTGTCTTTCCTTCTGTTAATGTGGTTTATTACGTTTATTGATTTTCGTATGTTGAACCACCCCTGCATCCCTGGGATGAAGCCTACTTGGTCGTGTTGAATGATCTTTTTGATGTGTGGTTGCATTCAGTTTGCCATTATTTTATTGAGGATTTTTGCATCAATATTCATTAAGGAGATTGGCCTATAGTTCTCCTTTTTGGAGGTGTCTTTGCCTGGTTTTGGGATAAGTGTAATACTGGCTTCATAAAATGTGTTAGGCAGTTTTCCTTCCCTTTCTATTTCGTGGAACAGTTTAAGGAGGGTTGGTATCAGTTCTTCTTTAAAGGTCTGATAGAATTCAGCAGAGAATCCATCAGGTCCTGGACTTTTCTTTTTAGGGAGACTTTTGATTGCTGCTTCAATTTCATTTTGTGTTATAGATCTATTCAGGTGATTAATATCCTCTTGGTTCAGTTTTGGATGATCATATGTATCTAGAAATCTGTCCATTTCATTATGATTTTCCAATTTATTTGAATATAGGTTCTTAAAGTAGTCTCTGATGATTTCCTGGACTTCCATGGTGTTTGTTGTTATCCCCCCTTTTGCATTCCTGATTCTACTAATTTGGGTTTTTTCTCTCCTCATTTTAGTCAGGTTTGCCAGGGGTCTGTCGATCTTGTTTATTTTTTCCAAGAGCCAACTTTTTGTTTCATCAATTCTTTGTATGGTGTTTTTGGCTTCTATTTCATTGATTTCAGCTCTTATTTTTATTATTTCTCTCCTTCTATTTGTTTTGGGATTTGCTTGTTTTTTTTTTTAGGAGTTTGAGATGTATCATTAGGTCATTGATTTGGGATCTTTCAGTCTTTTTAATATTTGCATTCATGGCTATAAACTTTCCTCTCAGGACTGCCTTTGCTGTGTCCCATAGGTTCTGGTAGGTTGTGTTTTCATTTTCTTTGACATCCAGGAACTTTTTAATTTCCTCTTTTATTTCATCAATGACCTATTGTTCATTAAGGAATGAGTTATTCAGTTTCCAGCTGTTTGCATGTTTGTTGTCTTTACTTTTATTATTGAGTTCTACATTTATTGCATTGTGATCAGATAGTATGCACGGTATAACTTCTATTTTCTTATATATGCTGAGGCTTGCTTTGTGCCCTAGGATATGATCTATTTTAAAGAAGGTTCTGTGAGCTTCTGAGAAGAATGTATATTGTGTAGAAGTTGGGTGAAATGTTCTGTAGACATCAACTAGGTCCATTTGATCTATGGTATATTTTAGATCTTGGATTTATTTATTGATTTTTTGTTTGGATGATCTATCTTTGATGATAATGGGGTGTTAAAGTCTCCCCAACCACTGTGTTGGAGTTAATATATGCTTTTAGATCCTTCGGGGTATGTTTGATGAAATTGGATGTGTTGACATTGGGTGCATACAGATTGATATTTGTTATTTCCTTTTGGTCTATTTCCCCTTTTATTAGTGTGGAATGTCCTTCTTTATCTCATTTGATCAATGTAGGTTTGAGTCTACTTTGCCAGAGATAAGTATTGCTACTCCTGCCTGTTTTCAGGAACCATTGGCTTTTTAAATCTTCTTCCAGACTTTCATCCTAAGCCTATGCTTATTTCTTTCAGTGAGATGGGTCTCCTGTAAGCAACAAATTGTTGGATCTTCTTTTTTAATCCATTTTGTCAAATGGTGTCTTTTGATGGGTGAATTAAGTCCATTAACATTAAGCGTTAGTACTGATAGGTATGTGGTGATTCCTGTCATTTAGTTGTCTTAGTCATTTGAAGGTTTGTGTGTACCTAAGTTGAGGTTACTCTCTACTTTCTTGCTTTTTCTTTTCCTGTGGTTTGGTGCTGCCTGTCTTTTCATGGTTAAGTTGGGTTTCACTTTCTGTGTGCAGAATCCCTTGGAGAATCTTTTGTAGTGGTGGCTTTGTGGTCACATACTGTTTCAGTTTCTGCTTATCATGGAAGACTTTTATTGCTCCATCTATTTTGAATGATAGTTTTGTTGGGTAGAGTATCCTGGGGTTGAAGTTATTTTCATTCAGTGCCCGGAAGATCTCACCCCACGCTCTTCTTGCTTTTAATGTTTCTGTTGGGAAGTCTGCTGTGTTTTTGAGGGGTTACCTTTTACCTTTGTATGTTATTTGTGTTTTCTCTCTTACAGCCTTCAATATTCTTTCTCTAGTTTCTGTACTTGTTGTTTTAATTATGATATGCCATGGGGTAGTTCTATTTTGATGTGGTCTATTTGGTGTTCTGGAGGCCTCTTACTTCTTTATGGGAATAGATTTCTCTAGATTTGGGAAATTTTCTGTTATTATTTTATTGAATATATTACTCATTCCCTTTGATTGCACATCTTCTCCTTCTTCAATGCCTATGATTCTCAGGTTTGGTCTTTTGATGGATCAGTGATTTCTTGCATTTTCTTTTCACAGGTCTTGAGTTGTTTAATTAATAGTTCTTTGGTTTTTCCTTTAATTACCATTTCATCTTCGAGTTCTGAGATTCTGTCTTCTGTTTGTTCTATTCTGCTGGATTGGCCTTCCGTTTTGTTTTGCAATTCTGTTTCATTGTTTTTTCTGAGTTTTCCATATCCTGAGTCACTTCCTCTTTAGTGTTGTCTATTTTTGTACTGAGTTCATTTACCTCTTTATTAATCATGTTCTCTGTTTCACTTTGGTGTTTATACAGTGCTTCTATGGTTTCCTTTATTTCTTCTTTTGCTTTTTCAATTTCTCTATTTTTGTTCTTGGAATTTCTTGAGTGTCTTCGTACATTTTGGTTGACAATATCCAGTATCATCTGTATAAAATTCTCATTGCGTACCTGTAGTATTTCTTCTTTTAAATTATTCTTGTTGGCTTCATTGGGTTCTTTGGCATAGTTTATCTTCATTTTGTTGGAGTGTGGATCTGAGTATCTGTTTTCTTCATTTCCCTCTGGTTTCTGCACTAATTTTTTGCTATGAGGAAGCTAATTTCCCTGTTTTTTCTGTCTTCCCATCATTGCCCTTGGTGTTGTCATTGTCCCTTTACTGTGTGCAATTAAGTATTTTCTAGCTTGTAATAATAACAATGGTGATATTCAGAATGGAAGGGTGAGAGGTGATGGAAAGCAAAGAAATTAAAGAAAAAGGAAAAAACAAATAAACAAACAAGTAGAAAAAACAAAATAAACAACAAAAAAGTTTCAAAGATGTAAACAGGGAGAGACAGTGTACTAATCATCAATAAACTGAACAGGCATTAGAGAGACAGAGAGAGGATTAAAATAAAAATTGAAAAATAAAAATAAAAATAAATAAATAAACAAATAAACAAATAAAATAAATAAAATAAAAATAAAAATCTCCAAGTTCAAATGCAATGAAGTTTCAGTCTTAATAATTTTGGTGTTAGTCCCTCAGCCTCCAATCATGGAGATGGTGTCTCAGAAGTAGTTCTGTCATTGTCTCATCAAAGGGGAAAAAAACTAAAAGAAACAAAACAACACAAAACTAAAAAACCCCACCAAGTGTCCCAAGTTGAAATGCAATACAGGTTCAGTAAGTTTTTCAGCATGCAGGTGTAGTTCGGTTGTTGTCTCATCAAAAGTTGGGAGAAAAAAAAAGTCTGGAGGCGTTTTTATGCAGATCTCTGGGGTGAGCTTAGCACTCACCTGGCCCCGCAGGCTTTGTTTACTCAGAGTTCTCCTGTGCGTGAGCCACTGCTACAAGCATTCCCCTTTCCAAGCACACTGGGGGAGGTGACACTGCACCCGCTTTCTCAGGCCTGCGTGTTTATTTACACCTCACGTAAGAAGTGGGTCTTCCCCCCTCTCCTGTGGAGTTTTCCTCCCACCGCCACTTTTACAAGCTTTCCCGCTCCTGGTTGCTGGATGTGTGCTGCCACTCCTGCCTTCTCCAGCTGGCTTGTTGTGAGGGATTTCCCCCCCTCCACTTTGGCACTCAGGGCACCCCGCCCTCTTTGCTACGTGTCTTTTTTTGTTGTTATTGCTTATTATTCAGCTTTTTTCTCTTTTTCCCCGGGTGGGGATCAGTCTGTCTAGGGGGCTATGCTGATCTCTCCCAGGGTTGTCTGTGAGAGTACTGCGTACTGCTTAGCTCATTTTGTGATCCGCCTCTTCCCAAGCTGTCTGGGCACTGTCATCTGGCCACAGCGTGGGAGCCCTCCTGGTTTCTCTGTTTAACATGGAGTGGAGATGTTATGCACAGGCTGGAGGTGTGGAGGAGTCAAAGTTTTGCCTCTTTTTGGTGGTTTTTCCTGTAAGGTATATCTCCAGCATCTCTCTAAGATTTTACTTTAGGAGGCACGCTTTCTGCTTCCTCCCCTTAGCCGCCATCTTGGAATCTCTATTTTTGTCTTTAGAATCCCAAAAGGAGTCGAATTTTCCAATGGCAAAATCTTAAACTGCAAGGAGGACTCAGCCAGCTCTCTTTCCCACTGTCAGTGGAACCCATTCTGGGTTCCTACAAGCTCATAGTGATGAAGGAGTCAGGGAAAAGAATAGAGCACTCCTTTGAAGTGAATGAATACGGTAAGAATTCTACATGTATAAGTCATTTATGATGTTGGAGTGTTTGAGATTATTTTTTACACATAGGTAACAAGAAAAGGTCTAACATACAATAATTGACTATCAGTAATCTATCTTCTTTACCTGGATATTTAGTAAGTAGTTTTCACACAGTATCTAATTTAATCCTCATAACAACTCTCTCAAGCAGATACTATTATGGTATTAATTTTACAAATAAGCATATAAATACTGGAAAAGTTAGTAACTTACCAAAGATCACAGAACCAATAAGAAGCAAGAAATATCTGAAAATACCACTTTGACCCTATTCAAACATAAAATGTTAACATTGTGTTAACCATACACATTATGTGCCTTGTTATCTGCATGATATAACAGTATTTCTTGGGATTATTTAATCATTTTCTAGTCGATAAGTACACTGCTCTAATCAACTATGATTCCTAAATCATGCTAATTTAGTAGTCAACTAAACTGTGCTTCCAATAAGTAATCAACTAAGCTGCAAGACAGTTGATTTAGCAATTAACTGCAATTACTAAATCAAACATCAGAGCCATCTTGTCAGTTAATCCCTTATGTAAATATTCTAATGTAAGTAAATATTTCATGCCATAACTGAGGAATGTAATCAAAAATATGATGCCCAAAACTAACCAGAACTGCCATAAAAATCACAGAATAAGGTTTCATAACCGTGGGATAGCGTAGAAAACTATGGCTCCAGCAGGGACAGGTGATAGACTAGAGAAGAGTACCAGCTATTTCTGAGCATTAGTGAGGATGGATTAATCAGAATTTACAAGGTTTCTGGGAACACAGGCATCTCTAGCTGCCAGGGTGGACCATGCAGGTGAATAATGGCTGGCTGTTGCCTCTGCACTGCTATCAGTACAGTATGCCCGACCCCTGCCAGGTGCCTGGTGGTGGGCCTAAGGGATCTCTGTTAGTCAGCAGAGCTAGCATTTAGGAAGAGAAGATATGGGGGGGAGAGAGACAGAGAGACAGAGACAGAGAGAGAGGCAGAGAAAGAGACATCCAAACATGCTGGTCTCTCTGTTACCACATCCAACTATGACGATCTGCAGGGACTCCCCATGCTGTCTCTGAAATCTTACACAAACTCAGAGAAGGAAAGTTTAGGAAATGTATTGCCAGCTTAAACAAGTAAACACAATGCCAACTACCCATGGCAATGAGTGACATTTTCTTGTCATATTGTTCCAGATGTTCCTTGCTATAGTTAGAGTCAGGTCATGTGATCCTATGTTATAAATTTCTGTAATGGAATACATTACTAATACTTACAAGATCTCCTTCCCTTTCTCACTTCTTTTTCTCTTCTGTTCTAAACAGTTTTGCCCAAATTTGAGGTCCAAGTAAAAATGCCCAAGACTATTGCTTTTCTAGAGGAAGAATTTGAGGTATCCGTCTGTGGCTTGTGAGTTACATTTTTTTCACCTCATTTCTATCTCCATACTCTATTGGAGACAATATACTTTAAATTACAGTTACTGGCTTTTGAATTATTTTAATAAGGGGAAGGATAGCTCTCTCTAGCTTGCTTATGCTCCCACAAAGGAGCAAAGATGATAGCATATGACACTTCTATTAGTGATAGCATCAGTGGACATTTAAAATGGCAATAGCATTTTAAGTGCCTTAGACTTATTAGAATGTTATTCTTATGCTAAGTGTAAGATAGGAACAATTATTATTCTTTCTTAAAATATAACATATAGAGGATTTTTAAAACTTGCCCAAATTACTGCACATAGTGAATGGCAGACTGAATTTAGTGACCGTAGACTGTGAACTCTTTGCCACAATTCTGTACTGCTCTGAAATCTAAAATAAATCTAACTTCATGAAGCTCAGACTCAGAGCTAAGCTAAACCTCGCCATCCAACTATGGCACTCACACTCATGCCTTCTGCATTCTTCTGTGTCCTTTATTACCCTAACTTCCTAAACTGAAAAGACATGGAAAACAGGTGAGAAGAATCTAGGTATATGCTCCACCTTAAATCCAGGATATACATAGTAGAATTAAAAACAATTGTTTCTTCCCTGATTTCCATTTTTTTCCCCTTTGGTGAGACTAGGGCTTGAACTCAGTTACTCACTTGCAAAGTAAGTGTTACGCCACTTGAGCCACACCTCCCAGTCATTTTGCTCTGGTTATTTTGGATATGGGGGGGGGGGTCTCAGTAACTATTTGCCCATTCTGGACTGAAACCATGATCCTCCTGATCTCAGCCTCCCAAGTAGCTAGGATTACAGGCGTGAACAACTGGCACCTGGTTCTTGATTGCTTTTTAATGAACTAAAACATCCTCAATATGAACAGAGAAGAGAAAATTTCCTTCTAGCTTTTGAAAGTAGCATGAAAAACATATTATGCTTTCATCCCACTCAGGAGCCTTGATGCTTTAAATCGCTCCATCAGAGGGATAGCTTATTTATTTATTTTTGGTGGAATTGAATTTTGCCCTTGCTATGTGGGCACTCTACCATTTCATCCACACCTTCAGCCTGAGGGAAAGCCTTTTGATCCAGATCTAAAGATAAGATTAAAAATGAATTGAAACTTAAGTAAATTATTTATTGCTTTATTATCACTTACATGAATTAGGGAAGGGGAAACTATACCAGAGGAAACCAAGGGACCACATGGCCAAACCTCACTGACTTCATAGCTGAGCAGGCAATAGGTTTCATACTTCAGAATACACCAGATCTATTGGAAATGCTTAGCTAAAACATGAGTTCCTTGACCCTACCTGCAGAGATTCCAATCACAAATCTGAAGCAAGACTCAAGAATCTGACATCCCAACATGTATTAGAGGTTATTTCAATGGAGGTGGTCCACAAAGCACACTTTAAGAAACAACCAACTGATTTCAGCTTGCATCCTACCTTTCCATCATGTGTGGCAGAATCAAATTGAGTCATTATGATAACACTGATAAATCACATTTTTGTTTTATAACTACTTCTTTCTCATCTAACTTATCCTCTTAAAATATGTCAAACTCAATGAGAGGGAGACAATATCTGAGAAAAACTAAATTGCTAACTTTCCATTTGGAGCCATTTTGAAAAGACTCATTAAGTACTTTCTCTTAGAGTTATGAATGTGTTTCCCACTTAAATAATTAAGGCACAGCCTCTTAGAATACATGCTTCTAGAGAGAAAAATGACATGGAAGGTAAAACAATTTCTTTAGGTGAAAAAGATGGCTGTATGAATGAATTAAATCAAGTGATAAAACATCTATAATTTACATTAAGTATGTATTTGTAACATTAAGTACATTACATTAACTACATTAAGTAATTACATTAAGTATATATTTGTAACATTATGTATAACTTTATTGTTATAGATACACATATGGAAAGACTGTCCCTGGTCTCATAAGAATTAATGCATGCAGAAGATATTCACGATACCGTTCTGTCTGTCATGGAAAATATTCCCAAAACATCTGTGAAGAATTCAGCCAACAGGTATGTGGAAAACACCCCCAGCGCACTAATACAAGATGTATTTTTTCATGAGTCATAATACTAAATACAACACAATAGAGAGCATGTTTGTAACAGTCGTCAAGCAAAACTGCAAATTAAGGAATAAATTGTAAGGTAGTATCAGGAGCCCAGTTGAGCAATGGACTCATGAATCTATAATTGTATTCATTTGGCCAATTTTATAATTTCCTTCAAATAGCAATCAATGGCTGAGGGTATGGCTCGAGTGGTAAAGGGCTCTGGATTCAATCCCTAGTACATCAAAAGAGCAATCAACATGCCAAGTATAAAATATAAAAGTATAAAGTATTGAAAGCCAGTTTTTATCCAACAAATAATGCAAGGATGGGGCAGGTGTCAAGAATTAGGCTAGAAAGGAACTAATGCAGAAACTTTAAAGGACAGCAGTCAATAGAAGAGAGGGATCTGGAACTAGAGAAAAGGTCAGTTCAAGAAGAATCAACTTAGAATATAACACATTTGTACGTGGAAGCAATGCTAGGAATCTCCTTGCATAGCTATCCTTATCTCAACTAGCAAAAATGCTTTGTCCTTATTATTATTGTTTATACTCTCTCGTCAACAAAATTAGAGATAAGGGCAAAATTTCTGCCTGGAAGAGAGGGGGTAGAAGGGAGAGGGAGGGGGTGAGGGGGAACGGAGGGGGCAGAGGGTAAAGGGAATGACTCAAACATTGTATGCACATATGAATGAATGAAAAAAAAAAGAATTAGGCTAGTATGAGAATCAAATGACATAGCATTTCCAAACTGCATATTGAGGAATACTAAATGGATTTCAGATGAGAGAGGAAGACTTAGAAAGACAACAGATGGGAGTCCCTAGTTTTACCAAAGAAGAGATTTAATAAGACAAATTAGGGAAAACATCTAGTAATAGAATATGTTCCATTAAAAACGGAATACCTAAATTACGGATTGCAAAGAAAAGATATGTAAAACTCCATAGTGTGGAAGTAAGAACAGGCACTACATGCATACAGAAATGAAAATTAGCAAAGCTGTAGTGAGCAAATAACTAAGAGACCAGAGTGAAAACCAAGCTGACCAACACTGAGATTAACACTGACCAATACGATAATCACAAGAAGACTCTAACTGCAAAAACCTTTACCATGTTAGAAAGAGTAGTATTAAGCTTTTATTGTCAAGTGAGTCATGACATCTACATATAAATAAATATGATTAATATTATTATGTAATAACAAAACAATAATAATTCTCTCATGCAAACAAGTGCAAAATGAAAAAAATCTTTATTAAAACATGGACACCAACATTGAGTTTGGAAACCTGATCACTACAAGAATTCATCTATTCAACGAATATGTGCACACCTACTAATGTCCTAGACATGAGAAAATATAGTTAAGAACATACATCCCATAGTCAATATTTAGAGGGAATAGTTATAGAGGCCTCATAGAAAGTGCTATGCCTGAGTTGAGTTCTGAGGAGTAGAAACTGTTTGCCAAGGTAAGAATGGGAGAAAGAATGTTATCATTTGAGAAGCAAGATATGCAAAAATATGTAATTGCAAAATATCATGGCACATGTGGAAACTCTAGGGAGTTAAGTATGGCAGTAGGGGGGCCAATTTTCAGAAGAGAAAGTAGGAGGCAAAAGTTGGCAACTAATAACTCAATGATTAATGAAGAATTTTAGGACATTTTTGAAGCTGAGGGTAAGCACCAAAAATATAATATGAACATCTGCAAAGTTTATTTTCATGGCCAATAAAAAATTTCAATAGACTGATAAATGACTTTTTTATAGCAAATGAGAGGACTCCAGATTTCTTTCTTTTTCCCTTCAGGCAGACAACAAAGGATGTTTCACACAACTCATAAAAACTAAAATATTTCAGCTAAGGCAAAGAGGTTATGACATGAAAATACAAGTGGAAGCCACAGTCAGAGAGGAGGGAACAGGTGTGTACTATTTTAAAATATTTATTAATTCAATAAACATGTATCAAACTTCCATTGCATGACACTTCATATCTCTAGATTACAAAATTTTCATGGTCTGTCCTCAAAGAATTAAGCAAATAGAAGAGGGGTGTGTGTGTGTGTGTGTGTGTGTGTGTGTGTGTATCCAAGATAAAATTTTCACAAGAAATATAAAAACTAAGTGACAAATGGATATGAAGAGAAATTATCAATCCTAATAGAGTGCCAGAAGAAGGCTTTAGAAGGTAAATTAATGCTTGGATTGATTTGCATAGGATGAGTAATATTTTGAAAGGTTAGATATGGATGAAGAAAAGAGGACATGCATAGATAAAAGGGCTCATTCTCAGAAGAACCTGAAAACATAGACTGGTGCTAAGCTGTGGGGGAAAAGAAACCATTCAGTAAAGAGTTTAGACATGATTCTGAAAAGCATTGGCTATTTTCAGATCTATTTGAGGAGCATGTACTAAGTAAATTGATACTTTTTAAAGATAATTCTAGAAGACATGAAAAAGAAAAGGTAAATGAGACATGTGTTACAATGTGATACATCAGAAAATCATTCAAAGATGAACCCAAAGATTACAAATTTGGGGACTGAGAAAAGAAAATGTAATGAACCAAGATAAAGAGTAGATGAAAAAGAACTAATGTGATGAGAATGTGCCAAAGATAAGTGATTGTAATTGAAAGTATCAAAATGTGAATTTATTCAGCTGATAATTTTTAAAGAAAAAAGGTCTATAGCCAAGTAGAAATGTGAGAAGTAAATCTGAATTTATGCCCTTGTGTCCAAGTCTAAAGAGTATATACAATTGCTTTAAGCTCATTTAGCATGGATTAATTTAGGATAGAGTCAGGACAAAGAGGACCCCAAGAACCAGAAACAACTGCATTTAGGAGACTATATAGTAGTAAATAAGAATAATAAAATTAGAAATCATGTACTAAAGGAGAAAAAAATGTACAATTTCTTAGATGCAACCAGTGAAAGAGTTTCAGTGGTTTCTAAGTATGAAGTACTACAGAGTTCATGTATGACGAAGTCTGAGATGAGATGACCATACGGAGGCAAGTCATGAATCTTTTGGACTTTGTAGCATGGCATCTTGATGATCAGAAAAAGATACAGGTTACTCTTCATTGAATGGAAGAGGACCAGGTGTTGGTCATGCTTTGAATAAGCCATGCTGTGAAAAGAAAAGTCTTACTGGAAAAGTATTTGTGAGAGAAATTTAAGCATGTTTTCCAACCAAGGTGAATGTGAAGGATCTAATTGTAAGCAGAAAGTCACAGGGGAAAACAGAGACGAAAAAGGGAAAGAACAAGGAAGCAATATCACAGAGCAGATGCGAGTTTAAGGATATAGGTGGAACAAGTCAGATACTTGCTCAAACAAGAATGAGGGATGATGGATACTAATAATGATTTATATGAAAATGAGGTTAATATCAAATTGCTTGTCAAATAGCGTCTATAGTATAAGCGAGAGAAATTAGGGAAAGAATAAGGAAAGGGAAAGTAGATGATATTTTCTTATGATGGAGTAAAGCTGAGATAGGAAAGGAGTTTGGAATACATACAGCTGTTCAACTTGAACTTTTTTCAGGGTTGGAACTAACTGGTTATGGATCATCTGAAATCACAAATACCCTAAGCAGACTGAGATTTACTAAAGTGGATTCACATTACAGACATGGACTCCCGTTCTTTGGACAGGTACATTGTCTTTTTCAACATAATCATATTTAGGGGCATGAGGTTTTTAAAAAACAAAATTTTAAATCATGAAATCAAAATGTATCATAAAAAAGAAAAATTTAAATAAACTTAAAAATGTTTTAAATAAAAATGACTGACTACAAATTAACAAATTTTAAAATCAAATATCACAAAATGCAGAAAAACAAAGCACAATTCTATTAACTTCAAAACACTCTTCTGAAAACACATTTTTTTTCTGTGTGGTTTGGCTGCATTTTATTTGATTCCTTCTTTGCATATAATGTTTTTGTGATATAATTTTCCATAGAAAGAATAACAATGTAATTGTGGTAGCTTTCCATCACTATAACAAAATATTTGAGGTAATTAACTTATAAAAATAAAAGATTTATTTGGGCTCACAATTTTAGAAGACCCAGTCCATTGATTCGCCCTGTTGCTTTGGGCCTTTGATAAAGCAGCACATCAGGCAGAAGCACGTGATGGAACAAAACTGCTCTTTTCATGACTAGAAAGCAAAAGAGAAAGAGGAAGAGGAAGAGTCCCATGATCTCCTTTGAGGATATATTCCCAAAGATCTAAGCACCTCCCACTTGATCCTACCCACCAATAGTACCACCCTGGGATCGAATCCTTTAACACATGGGAATTTGTGAGACATTTAGCATCCAAACTATAGCACTAATCTTTCATCTAAATGGTTAGTTCTTTTCATTACTCAACTTTAGAGTTTATTATTGATAATATCAATATTGGAAAAGTTTAGGACTGATAATCCATTTTAGTAAACTATTCATTTTCTTTTATGTAGGAGATGTAAGGTTGCTAAGCAATTTTTAAACATTTGCTTTAGTAGTAACTAATCTTTAAATTGAGAGTTGATTAGCAATGTCCTCACTGTATATTTTAAATCTCATAGCTGAGAACTGGAGGCGTGGCTCAAGCGGCAGAGTGCCTGCCTCACAAGCACGAAGACCTGAGTTTAAACCCCAGTACCACCAAAAACAATTAAATATTTAAGTGCTAAATTTCATGTCTGAATTTAAATTTTACATTTTCTTCACTTATTCCGGTATTTCTTATCAAATTGGGAGGCAATTAGTAAATATAGACATGTGATTTGGCCATTTGAAGCAGAGGTAAGGTCATGAGAAAGCTCAAAGGATTGGTATAAATTGGCCAGAAATTGAAGATAAAAGGGAAAATGGCCAAGACCCTAGGTGTAAAGCAGTTTTCCAAGAACATAGACCCAAATGGTGTTCACATGACTGCAGATAAGATAAAAGCTATAACTGAGTTTACTGGATACCACTGATAAGCCATATTAGATCTAAGGGCCTTTTAGGGCATGGGATAAATTTTGGATTGAAAAGTGACTGAAGGCTTTAAGGAGAGTGATATGATGAGATGAGCTCAGGCTGTGTAGGAATGCTTTGGAGCAATGATGAAGAAGCAAGATGCAGATAGCAGAAGACTAACTACAAAGCTGTTGAAAGCCAGAATGGTTAACAGCAGATTTGGAGAGAAGTAGATAGGATTAAAACATATTTGACAAAGAAGAAAACAACACCTGGCAATGAGTTAGCAATCTGCATGTCAGAGGGAAAACGACTGAAGAAGGGCCCTCAGCATTCCTGAGTAAACTATCAGCTAGACAGAAGCACAATAAACTGAAACAGAAAACTCTACAGATGGAGAAAATTTGGGAAGATAAGCTCGTGATCCCACTTTCAAATATTTGAGTACCCAGAAGATATTCAAAGAGAAAATGTTAAAAAGATTTTAAGATAGAGTGACTACAGCCAATGATAGTATTTCAAAATAACTTATAGGGTAAATTTCAAATATCTCCCTGCAAAACATAAGCTTAATGAAATGATGAATATGCTCATTAGCTAGATTTAATCATTATATTTTTTCATTTTTATTAGCATACATTAATTGTACAGGGGGGATTCATTGAGACATTTCTGAATAGCCTAACATTGAACATTGGTTAGGTTCACTCCACTGTCTCCCTCCCTCATCCTCCTCTGCTTAATCATTCTACATTACACACGTTTATTGAAACATCACACTATACCCCAGAAATATATACAATTATTATTTTAAATTCAAACTAACAGCAAAATAAAATAGCATTTAGCTTTCAAAATTATGAACTGAAATATTTAAAAGACGGGTCATAGTTCAGAGCTCACAAAACAAGTCTTCCTTACGATTCTCAGATCTTCAATAAATGACAAATAGTGAGCAAGAGGTAAACAGGTGAGTGAAACAGAGGGGAAGATGCCGTTGCTGCGTGACATCTGTAACCAGCTAAAGCTTTCATTTTCTAGGTTCTTCTCCTTGATGAGAAGGATGATCCAATCCCCAATAAAGTTGTCAGGGTTGACATGGCTGGATACCATTCCAATTTTACGACTAATGAACATGGGTTGGCAGAAATTTCCATTGATACCACCAACTTCACATTTTCTTTCACAGCAGTCACAGTAAGTTGAAAAGGGCATCTGGAGCCCAAAAGACAGAGATCGCTGGGCTGAAGGATGCACAAGAATCATGTGAACTCTAGGAATAAAAGGAAAGGCAATTAAGGAATAACATGTAAATTAAGCAATGTGGAGATCTAATTCATAAGAAACAAAAAGTTGTGTCAGAAAACTTTTACGTAGTCTCTGCTTGAAACATGGTCTTGACCAGGAGACATTGGATAGATCATTTTGGTATTACCTTGAAATTTTTAATGTTTTTATAATTCTGATGCCAATTTGATTTTGTTCAGTTTCTTTGGCATGCTGCTATTTTTAGTTTGTGCTAAACATTCAAATGTTCTTATGGCAGTTTACAACCATAAGGATATTAAGAAAAGGTAATTGATCTCAATAGCAAATGAATAAATGAATCAGTACAGCAAAGGCTTAAATGAGATTTGCCAGCCTGCCAGCACTTGGAGGACTGAGGGTGAGGCAAGACTGGGAAAAAAAAAAAAACCTAAATGATTTTAAGGAGAATGTGGCTATAGATTATGCTATATCTCAGAGAGCAGAAGCCGGGCACTGGTGGCTCACACCTAGAATCTTAGCTGAGATTGGGAGCATTGTGGTTCAAGACCAGCCGGGAAAACAGTTCACCAGACCCCATTTCCAAAATAACCAGGAGGACTGGAGGCATGGCTCAAGAGGTATAGTGCTTGCTTTGCAAGCTTGAATCCCTGAATTCAAACCCCAGTCCCACCAAAAGACAGAGCAAGAGAGAGAGAGAGAGAGAGAGAGAGAGCAGCCATTTTACATGATTCTATTAGATAATAGATAGATTACATAGATTAGACAGATGACAGATAGTTGATAAAATGATGATGATAGATGATAGATAGATAGATAGATAGATAGATAGATAGATAGACAGATGATAGATAGATATGGCTATTAAATACAAAAACCCTGTTCATTTTTCTACTAGGTTACTTACAAGCTGAATAACATGTGTTTTGACAATTGGTGGCTCGATGAATATCATTCACAAGCACAGCATTCTATAAATCGTCTTTTTTCTCCAAGCAAGAGCTATGTTCATCTTGAACTTGTTCATGGTATTTTGACTTGTGGGCAAACCCAGGCGATTCGGGCATATTACATCTTGAATGAGCAGATCCTGAAGGATGAAAAAGAGTTGACCTTCTATTATTTGGTAAGCATAGGAGTCATTGACTAATTGTGCACAACCCAAAATTGTTAAATTCCACTTAAAGTAATAGGTTTTACAAGAAATTAATGTTAATATAGAAATTTTGTTGTTTTATGCTGGAAAAGAGACTACTCCCTAAGAAATTACTAAGCTTTAATTCATCATTGATGTTTTGGCCACCACTGAAACATTAATTATTAGTAACATTTCCTTACTTCTATGAAACAATAGAATATTAAAGACAGCTTAAACTTCAGTTTTATTTCTTCCTAGTCATATGACCTTGAATAATTTACTAAAATTCATCTGTAAAGAGAAATATCAATCATATCACCTGAATACTGGAGATATTGTTAATACCCACTTCACAGAACTACTATGCAAATTAAATAAAGTTACATTATTTACTTCAGTATACAGTATGTACAGAATGCACCATACAATTGCGGTTTTACAAAAAGGGGGAAAAAGATGGGCCTAGTGGTGCAGCCTGCATTCCTAGCACTTAGGAGGCTGAGACAAGAGGATCAAAAGTTTGAGACCAGCGTGGGCTGTGTAGTAAGACTCTGTCTCTAAAAAAAAACACCAGGCATGGTGGCTCACATGCATTATCCTAGCTACTTGGGAGGCTGAGATCAGGAAACTCAAGTTTCAAGGTCAACCTGGGCAAATAGTTCACAAGACCCCATATTCAAAATATCCAGAGAAAATGAACCAAGGGTGTGGCTCAAGCAGTAGAGCTCCTACTTTGCAAACACCAAAAAAAAAAAAAAAAAAAAACTCAAGTTCAAACTCTAGTTCCACCAAAAAAAAAAAAAAGAAGCAACAATAGAGAAGTACTTAAACATATTTTACATCTATGTATATGCCTTCACTCTATTTTGCTTTGCATATGGTAGATGCTTAAAATATTAATAGAAACATATAAATTTGAAAGATCGGTATTAAATATTAATATATAAATTTGATATATTAAACAAAAGAACAGAACATTGCAAAATTATATATTTATTATTTCAAGTATATTAATGCACACGTAAGAAAATGTTGGAAGAGAAATTTTGTGATCAAGAATAATTTCTGAATTAAAGCAGTAAGAGTTTTTTATGTATTGTGAATATTTAAAGAAAGATAAATATAAACTTTAAAGCAATAATAAATATTTCCATTTGTCTTCAGCTCAAAGCAAGAGGAAGCATCTTCAGATCAGGAATCCATGTGTTGTCCATTGAACAAGGAAACAGTAAGCATTTTCTATGTTTTGCCCTCTCATCTTGCCAAATCCTGAACAATGTTGTAATTTGAACCTAGTTATAAATTATAGGAATCTTCTATCATTCAATGATGAGGAAGCTGGTAGAATATAGTGGCATACCTTAGCTCATGTACTGTTTTTTCTTGTTTTAATTTCTCTATAGTATATTTTAAAATCAGGTATTTTGATGCCTCCAGCATTGCTCTTTTTGCTCAAGATGCAATTTGAAGTTTTTGTGCTTCTATATGAATTTTAGGATTGTTTTTTCTACTTTTGTGAATAATGTCATTGGTATTTAGATGAGTATTGTATTGATCAGTCTTGGTAGAATGGCCATTTTAACAATGTTGAGTCTTCCAATCAGGAACATGTAAGCTCTTCCGTTTTTTAAAGGTTACTATAAGCAGAATTGCCTTCTTGATTTCTGTATTAGGAATATCATTATTTGAGGAAAGAAATGTTACAGATTTCGTAGGTTGATTTGGTATCCTGTTATAGTATTTATTTGTTAAGCAGTTCTAAGAGTTTTTCGGTGGAGTTCTCAAGGCTTTTAGGGATAATTTAACTTACTCTCTTTCAATCTTTTTTTTTTTACTTTAAAACCAAAATTTTTTTCTTTCTTCCTTTCTTTTATTATTTTTACATTTACTTACATGTGTATACACTGTTTGGACCACCTCCTCTGTTCTCCCCCTCTTTGTTCCTCTCTCTTTTTCTCCGATTTTGTTGATGAGAAAGCATGACTTCCTTTTCAATCTTATGCTTTTTATTTTTTCTTTTGTCTAATTGTTTTGGCTAAAATTTCTAGTACTATATTGAACAAGAATGGTGTGAGTGGACCACTGTCTCATTCCTGATTTTAGAAGAAATGTTGTCATTTACTCCATAGTTGGTAGGATGCTGGCTAAAGATCTATCACACACAGCTTTTAATTCAGGGTTTTTATCATAAAGAGACGTTGAACTTTATCAGAGCATTCTTCTTCATCTATTGAGCTGACAATATGATTTTTAGTCTTCATTCTATTTATGTGCTCTATCACATTTATTGATTTGCTTATGTTAAACTATTCTTGTATCCTTGGAATGAAACCAATTTGATCATGGCATGTGATCTTTTTAATGTGCTATTGAGTTTGATTTGCAAGTATTTTATTGAGGATTTTTTCATCTATGTTCATCAAGAAAGAATATTGGTCTACAGTTTTCTTTCTTATTGTGTCCTTGTCAGGTTTTTGTCAGCAGGGTACTACTAACTTCATACAATGAGTTTAGAAGGATTCCTTCTCTTTCTATTTTATGAACATTTGAGGAGCATTGTTGTTAGTTCTTCAAATATCTGGTAAAATTAAGCAGTGCATCTATTCATTCCTGTTTTCTTTTGGGAGACTTTTACTGTTACTTAATCCTATTCCTTATTTAGGTTCTTTGTATCCTTTCGTTCAATTTTGGCAAGTCATATTACTCCAGGAGTTTGTCTGTTTCTTCTAGATCTTCCAGTATATTGGTGTATATTTTTTTCCAAATGTTCCCTAGTGATATCTTTGAATGTCTGTGGCATGTGTTGCAATATCCTCTTTTGATCTCAATTTTATTTATTTGCATCTTCCTTCTGTTTCTTTTTTGTTAGTTTAGCTGTTTGTCAATTTTGTTTATCTTTTCAAAGAACCAACTATTTGTTGCATTGGTCCTTTGTCATTTTTTTTCTATTTCATTTATTTCTGCTCTGGTCTTTATTATTTCTTTCCTTCTACTGATTTTAGATTTGTTTTGTTACTATTTTCTAAGACCTACAAAATACCCTCTTAGGTTGCTATTACTGCATTCCACAGATTCCGGTGTATTATATTTCCATTTTCATTTGAAACTAGGAATTTTTAAATTCATTTTCTGATTGAGTAAATAACCCACTGATCATTCAAAAGTGCATTGTTCAGTTTCCAAATTTTTGTGTAGTTTCTGTACTTTCTCTTGTTATTGAATTCTAATTTCATTTATGATCTAATTATTTCAATTTTTTGTTTAAGACCTTCTTTATAGCCTAAAATTTGATTTAATTTGGCAAAAGTTCTATGTACAGATGAAAAGAATGTGTACCCACCACTGTTGGATGGAATATTTTGTAGTTGTCTGTCATGTTGATTTGATTTATACTATAATTTAACTCTGATTTTTTTGTTAATTTTTGTCATCTATTGGTGAGGATGAGGTATTGAAATCAATAATTAATTTACATTTGGGGTCTATCTTTTTACTTTCACAAGTGTTTTATAAAATTGAATGCTTTGATGTTTGATACTTGTAATTTACAACTGTACATATATATACACACATATCTATATATACTATGTATATATATACAATATATATAATAAATAATAATAAAAAAGCAAATATATAAAAAAAAGAGTATGCTTTCTTTATGTTTTTTGTGTTTTATGTTTTGAACTTCTCACACTTGCTAGGAAAGTACTCTACCACTTGAGCCATGCCCTCAGTTCCAGTCTCTTCTGACTGATTTTGGTTAAATTCTGTTTGTCTGATATGAATGCACTTACTCTAATTCCTTTCAGATTCCATGTGCTTGGAATACCATTTTCTATCTTTTCACTTTCAGTCTGTGTGTGCCTTTGTGAGTGAGATAAGATTCTTGCAGGCAATGAATTGTTGAGTCCCTTCAGCCAGTCTGCTTATTTTAATTGGATAATTAAGACCATTTACATTCTGGGCTATTACTGAAAGGTATGTGATAGTTCCAGTGATTGTGTTGTTTTTCTTCTGGTGGTTTTAAACAATTTGTTTGTTTTCTTCTCTCTTTTTTCATTTTAGAGGCTTGGTGCCTTACTAAATTAATTATGTCTGATTATTTCTTAATTTCCATTCTTTTATCTACCACTCTGGTGAGATTCATTCTTTCCCACACTCTCTTTTTTTATACTTTTGGTTTTTTTTATTATTGTTGTACTGGGGGTACGTTGTGACATTTACAAAAGTTCTTCATGATTATGTTTATTTTGCTTCATCTTCTGGGTGTGGGAGTCCTTTTAAGTATTTTCTGTAATGCTGGTCATGAATTCTTATCTTGGAAGTCTTCATTTTCCTTTCATTCTAAAGGATAACTTTGTTGACTATAATAAACTAGGTTGGCCCTCTCTTGACTCTCTTAAATATTTTTTTTTAATTTAGAAACAGAGACACACACTGGTTTTATTTTCTTCTTGAGCAGAAGAGACAATGAAACCTATTTTTTTTAAAATACATTAATGCAGTATATATTTACTAAATCTGACTACATACTCTGCGGCATGCTCCAACTGTGAATAGTTAAATAATCTAAGAACTCCTTTCTTAAATAATAAAAGTGAGAATAGCATTCCTAATCTATAATCTTGAACTTTTTGCAGTGAAAGGGGTGTTCTCCTTCACCTTTCAAGTGGAATCAGACATTGCTCCTACTGCTGAGTTACTCATTTATACTATTTTACCTGATGGAGAAATTGTTGCAGACACTCAGAAACTTGACATTGAAAACTGTTTTGCCAACAAGGTGAGTGATTTAGATTAAGCTGGTCCTTTAATTCTTCTTTGTTTTTGAAATGTGGACATTAAGGAAGTTGCATACATTAAAAACTATCAGTAGTCCTAAAACCTTCCTCCCAAGTTCCTCCAAAAGTTGAGAGTGATATTTTGTGTTTCTACTGTATGTTTATGGCAAGTGAACATTTCTGACATGAAAACTAAATCTACATTATATAATTTTTAAAATATAAATGATCTAAGAAAAATATACAATGAACTCTTAACGTTCTTCACTTCCACCTAAGAAATCTATTAAACTTGGAGATTGTGTCCAAGAGCACAGTATCTGTTCTATTTGGATCTTCTGTGTATTTCACACCAACTGAGAAGATGGTTCTGCTTCCTGCTTCAGTGTCTTCAATGTTAGTCATGGAGAGTTTGCTGTTGATTCGGAAGGGTCATTTGTGCCACTGTGTTCAGCACACCTTGATCTTTCTAGCAGGGGAGCAGTAGTTTCTTTCTAGTGACTCAATATTCTCTTTACACTCTGGAAATTAAAAGAGGTATTACAAATTATAATCAGAGAAATGAAAATTTTTTCTCGGAGTCCATCCTGATTTTGCAAAACAAATGACAATCCCTTTATAACACCATGAAATTTCCTCATAGAAGTAAAAACCATGGAAGTTATATTCTGTCTCTTCATATCAAATACCTTTTGCCTTGTCATTTGTCAAAGGTGAAGATAACTCCAAAAATGTAACATAAATGAAGATCTATGCAATACTCAGAAGAAAGTTGACTATTGACTACCACAAAAAGTTAAAAGAATGGATCCATTAAAGTGACTAATTAACAAACCTAGAAGTTAGAAATCCTGACAGAATAAGTGAACTAAGAATATGAAGAAGGATTCCAAGTGAGACTCAAACAGACACACTTTAAATAAGTTTTTTCAATCTTTTTTGAGAAAGAAAAAAAATGTTTACCATTTAAAATCCCTTCCCTTAAAAACAAAAAATTTACTGCACACATTAAATATGTAATGGTTTAAATAGTTTATTTTTCTCAATTCTTTTTGTTTTGTTTTGTTTTCCTTTATTTTTATTAAGATATATTTGTTGTACAGGGGGGATTCATTTTGACAATTCCAAATCAACTAAATATAATTCTTAACTAAAGATTATACTGATTAATATAGCTAAGTAACACTTTGTCAAAACATGCCTTAAATTTTTCTTTCAGTTTTCATATCTGCACAATACTTTATGGTTTCCAACGTGTCCTTTTCTTGGTTTATAGCATTTTCAGTTAACTATAATCCCAAATAATTTACTTGCTCATTTGACATGGATGTTTAAAAACTTATTTTAATGAATTTAAATTGATTTAAAATAAGAATATCTCTAAAACAGAATTCTCCACAGTTTTAATAATGTATTTAATTAGAGACATAAAGATTTGTGTACTTTTGCCCATCTAGTAAGATTGTTATAGTTAAATTCAACCAACACAAATCAAATGTTATTTAGCTAGCCAGGCATAGTGGCTCGTTCCTGTAATCCCAGTTACTTAGGAGGCAGATGCAGGTGGACCACAAATTCAGGGCTAGCCCTGGCAAAATTAGCAAGATCCTACCTCAAAAACAAAATACAAACCACTTCAGTGTGCCCAAGTATACTTGTCTTGCAAGCACAAGGTCTTGGGTTCAATGCCCAGAACTGGAAGAAATAAATTATTTAGCTAAACATCCTGAAACTTTATTCCAATCCAAATCAGTTTTAAGCTCAAAAAGAAACCAATGAATTTCTACTAGTCAAAGCAAATCAAATCTCTAAAAAAAATTGCATATAATTTTCTATTATTCTGTTGGTTTTTGTTCTTTGTTCAAAGTTCTTTGAAATTCTGAAACAGTTACCTCTTAGGATGCATAGTAGATTTTTTAATTCTTAGTGATCCAATAAATCCCCAGTCACGGTTATCACAGATACCCTGCTTTAGAATTTCTTGTGAGCCTGATTGCCAACTGGAGGAGATGTCAGCTGTACACACACTCATCACAAAGACAGTGCACAGAAGTAGGTCAGCCACAGAAGTGTATGTATCTTTCTTAGCTTATGGGTTTTCAATCCTGTACAGGATTCTATTTCAATGTGATAAAAATGAATTTACATTTCCCACATCATACAAGGAATATGAACCATGAGCTAACTGGAACCACATTTCTAGGTTATTTCAGAGATGTTATTGGTTCCTGAGAGAGTTCATCTTTTTTTCTTTTTTTGAGACAGAATCTCACTATGTAGGCGAGGCTGGCCTCAAACTAACCATGTATCCCAGGCTGGCATCAAACTTGTGATTCTCTAACCTCTGCCTCCTGAGTGCTGAGATTACAGGCCTGAACCACCATCCCTGACTGAAAAGACATCTCTTTATCTTTCTATAAGATAAAAAAATGAGACAGCAAGTGTAGAAGAGACTCATGGCAGCCTAGAGTAGAATAGAGATTTCAAACTGCAATATTCATAAAGTTGGTGCTGTAATCAGATTCTTTTTACAGGTTCACTTGGTTTTTTCATCAGCACAAAGTCTGCCAGCCTCGGACACCCATCTGCAGGTCACAGCCACGCCTAAGTCTCTTTGTGCCCTCCGTGCAATAGATCAGAGTATGCTGCTAATAAAGCCTGAAGCTGAGCTCTCACCACAGTCAGTAAGTCCCATTTCAATCTTGGATATCTCGAAATGCTCACATAACAAGCTCCTCAGAGTGACAGGCACAATGAAATTCCACAACAGTAACTGGACAAAGGACTTTACATAAATCATCTCATTTTATTTTCTGTTATAGTCTCAATAAGGGAGCAATATTGTTTCCGTGACATTCCCCATGCCTAGCACAGGACCTTATGTATACCAGCTGTTTAATACACTTTTAATGGGTGAATAAATTAATAATAATTTAAGGTAGGTATTATCACTTGATTTTTATGAATGAAGAAAACATAACTAAGACATAAGGAATTATGGAAAGCACATGCTAACAATATATTCTAGAGGTGGAATTTGAACCAGATTTCTTCCAACGTTGTTTCCTAACCCATTGCCTTTCAAGGTATGGAAAAATGCAGATTTTCAGCTTTCTCCGAAATCAAGCACTTAATGGTTTTCCAGAGTGGAGACAAGAGAATTACTCTCCAAACTTGTCTTTTAAAATGTTTCTTACAATGAATCACTCTAAAAAAAACACTATAGTTTACTGGCTCCATGGTCCATTTATTTATTTTACAAGTATGCACTGCATCTTGATCCTGGGATGGGCACTTCTGAGACCAGGATAACTACTGATGAACAACCCACAGCATCCTCTGATCATTTTACACTCACAAACAAGCAACAAAAAAACAAACATACGATAATTCAGGCTTTGATAAGTGCCATCTATAAAAGGAATAAGCAGGGCATTGAGATAAAAATGAGTAAATTTTGAACTAGGAATTAGGGGACTCCTCTTAGATTGGAAGAAAGTAAAGGAGTAAGAGCATTACAAAGCAGGCCCAAAGACTTTGAGATCAGAGTGAGTTTAGAATGTCCTGATATGTAATGGCAAGAAAGGAGGATGGTAGCGGCTGTGGGTGGCATAGAAAATTAAAAGGAGCTTCCATCCCCTGCTCACATAGTGTAGAGTTGCTGTTGGTAAATCACCAAGGAGCTTTACATAAGGCAGTGGAGATATAAATATATATATATATATACTTATATATATATTGATTGTACATATTTATGTAGTATACTCTGACTAATTGATATATATAATATGTATGTGTGTATCATGATCAATCTGGGTTGGAGTGTGACTGATATATGAAGATATCTACAAAGATCATGTTTGCTGCTGAGAGTATGATGTTAGGATGAAAGCACAGGAACAGTTAAGGGGTCATGATGAAGGTCAGACAGGAAATGACAGAAGCCAGATGAGGTCTTCAGGGAGCCCAGGATGTGTCTGATGATCTGAGCTCTCTGTAGCTGATCATGTAGTTTTACAGTAAGAACTGCCTTGGAGCTGACTTATGTCTAAATTGCCTGTGCATCTAATTTGTTCTCAAGCTATCCGTGGTCCTAAAATAATTGACAAAAACAAAATTTAGTAAGACATTAATCATATAAAATGGGAAAAGAAAATGTATCAAGAACATACTCTGAGTGACTTTTATTCTTTCATTATACCTCTCTATTAGGTCCACAATTTCTTTTTTTATTTATTTATTTTATTTTCCACGCATTTTTTATTCATTTATTCACATGCGCGTATATTGTCTGGGTCATTTCTCCCCCTTTCCCCGCCTCGCTTCCAGGCAGAACCTGTTCTGCCCTTAGCTCTAATTTTGTTGAAGGGAAGACACAAGCATAATAAGAAAGAAAAAGCATTTTTGCTAGTTGAGTTAAGGATAGCTTGATTTCATTTAAAATTAGGCATTTGATCTGGGAGGCAGAGACTTGGATTTTATCGTTATTCAGTTAAAATGGGTTCTGATATTTTTAATTAATTATCATTATTTTAATTGTACATGTTTATGTAGTACATTCTGACTAATTGATATACATACATACTTATGTATGTGTGTATCATGATCAGTCTGGGTTGGGGTGTGGTTCAAGTGGTAGAGTGTCTATCTAGCAAGCTCAAAACCCTAAGTTTAAAACTCAGTATGTCCAAAAAAAATCATGATCAAATCTATGTAGTTTAGCATTTTCACCTCCTTAAACATTTCTAAATTTTTGATTTATATGTAATTATTGTCCATATTTATACAGTATAGTGTGATACACATGTACATGTATATGATATTTACTGAGCAAATCAAAGAAATTAACCTCCCAGTCTCTTTATCATTACTGTGCTTTTGGAGCCTCAAGATATGCTCTTGTAGTTATTTTTGTAGTATTATAGGTTATTGTGAGCTATCATCACTTCACTGTGCTATAGAACACTAACACTTATTACTTCTGTCTGTGTTTTGATTCCCATTATCCAACTTCCACTCTATCTCCTCCCCCACAAAACTTCCCAAACACTACTAATTATATTCTTCTACATTCAGATCAACATTGATCAATTCACTTTATCTCTTTAAGTCTTACTTTCTACTGTACAAAAGGATTAGGATCTGTGACCTTTAATATCTCTCCATGATTCTCTGTTTTATTCTTTATCAATATTAAATAAACACCACAATCTTTTAAATCCCATATTGAACTTAATAACATTTAAAATAAAGCAACAGAAAAGAGTTTCCCTTTGTTCTCTCAAACTTTACAGGTCTATAATTTGTTACCAGTAAAGGCTCACTTTAGGGATCAATTTGGAGGTCAACTGAATGAAGATGGCGAAAAATGCATCAATGCAGAAGAAATAATTCACAATGGAATCATATACACACCAAAGCAGGACCTGAGGGATGATTATGTTTACAGTGTTTTTGAGGTAATTCTTCTTCCCCCCAAGAATAATCAAATTGATTTTTAAGTCTTTGTTAAGATGGAGAATCAATGGATTTCTAAGCTCTAGAATGTGTGTGATCCTTGCCTCGCTCTAACAAAACAATGATTAACAGAATAAAATTGGAGTATCAAAGGTATATATTACATTGTACATCTGCAGTTTTCCCCCATGAATCTCTCCAGCATCTTAAGGAGCAAGTGGCTTACATTTAGGGCCCCAAACCTTAGTCAAATTGATTTTTAAGCTAATTATCTCTCAGTGACTCTTAAGATTCTCATGTATGAGTATCTTGTTGGCAGTTATCAATTTAGTCATTTGCGTAATAAGTACTTGTTGTAGGAATGAATGATTGAGTACAGATGTGCAATACTTTGGCCCTCACGTTTAGGGCAGCACTATTACAGGAAAACTGCAAGTAACCTTTTGTTACAAAAAGATTAACAAAATAAATGTCATGCTCTTTTTAAAGTATGCATTTTGGGGATTAGCTATAGTTAAGCAGAATTAAAAGTTTATCCAGGAGTTAAGCCATCTCACTATTAAAAACAACTAAAATCTTCCAAATTGCTTTGAATAAAAACATATGTCATTCTTTTGCTAGAGGTTAACAGTTTAGCTGAGAATAACTTAAATCTCTCTCTTCTGGAGCTTCCAGAATCATGAATAAGGGGCAGAGGAATGCAATGAACAGTCTTTAGGTTTATTAACTAGCTGATTAATTTTTAAGCCTTTATTTCTGACTCCTTTTTTCCTATTTCATATCACAACCATGATTGACAACTGTGCCCCAGTCACAGTTTCCTATGTGTGACTCTGACACAAGACTGTAAGAGGCATTTATCTGTGACTAACATTGAAGGTGAAAGTGAGGAACAGGTAGACTCAAGAAATCAGATGACTGAGGAAAAAAAAAAGGAAGGACAAATTCCCTAATGGATGAGTTAGTTACAGATAGTCAAGGAAAGGCATATCTTCTAATAAATGCTTTCTAAATTGTGAAGAAACAACCCTATCATTTCGAATGACAGAAAAAAGCAACAAAAATACTCTGCAATAAAGTTAAGAGATCTATTTATCCTTCCTTCTACCCATCTGTCTCTTTATCCATATATGTAGATGCAAATATTTGTTTTATGAGGAAAAGGAAATGAAGAAAACATCTAGGACTAAAATACTCAGTCTTGGGTGCAAAAATAAAAATCACTACAGAGGCATCACAGTATACCAGACACTACTTAAAAATACAAATCAGAAGAATATTACTAGCCTGATGAATGTCACCCATTGTGACTACATTATTCTCCTCCTCAGTGTGCAAAATTTTCATAATGATCCTATGACAAACGTGTTAAACAACGAAAGTTCAATACAAATTCAAGAAGTGAATTCCAGCTCTATTAAATTTGCACCACTATGCTTTAATAAGTCATATTTTTTCCAGTCTATAGGATTAAATATTTTTACCAATGCAAAAGTCAATAAGCCACTTTTTTGTCAACCGCCTGTGCCACATAGAGGGCTGATTCCAGGCTATGGAGCAGGAGAATATGGAATAGGAGCAGGTAAGGGTCTGATTTATTTATCTGCTACAATAATAGGGAAAAGTGATGCCTTACTAGGATGGGGTGGAAAAAATGATTTTTCTATACATTGGTTCTCATGACTCGGAGGCAACTTTTTTAGCAAGTTATTAACAAGTAATATTCTCTCTCTTTCTCGCTCTCTCTCTCTCTCTCTCTCTCCATAATTGGTTGCTTTTTTGTGTTAGCCTTCAATAGTCTTTCTACCTCAGATCCAATCTACCAATCTACCATAGATTCAACACCTGAATTACTTATAAGATCAGACACTAACAAGCACCACATCTCTGTGGCTAATCTTATAATCACTAGTATTTTTTGCTCACACAAAAGCTACTTGTGAGTCCAGTATCCCATATCTCTCCAGAATAGCTCCTTACCAAATAGTGAGTCAGTAATGACCAGTCTACTTTCATCTGCTGATTCCACCATCTCCACTGTATCTTTCAGAGTCACAGCCATGGAAAAGAAGGAACAGATTTGCATGTAACTTTTATGGCTTCTCTAACAATAAATGAGGGTGGTAATATAAAGTCATTTTTTTTACAAAAATTGAGAGCAGGAAGGCAAAACAGATCCTCTCTGGGAAATTGGTACCAGTGGGAGGGGGGAAGACACGAGGAGAAGGTATAAAAGGGTAAATACTGTGCAAATACTGTGTACACATGTATGTGAATGGAAAAATGACACCTGTTGAAACTATTCCAGGAAAGGGGAGAGGAAGGATAAAGGAGAATGATTCAACTATGATATAGTGTAAGAACTTTTGTAAATGCCACAGTGTACCCCCAGTACAACAATAATAAAAAAAGAAGGGACACATATTCTAATACAGTAAATAATTTACCTGGGAACCCAAGGCATAAAGTTCCTGTTGAAAACAGAAGAGTGAATGTGAATATTTCCCCAAGAGAAAGAAAATCCTGTATAGTGCTTGCTGAGCAAAGGAACAATTTTAATCATCCCCCATCTGCTATGACCATGTGACTTTGAAATTCCAAAATTCATTGAGCATTTCAATGAATCAATTTTTTCATATCTAAAATCAGAATGACTACCAAAGTCATTGAGGGGTTGTAAGTATGAAATTAAGAAAATTTAATTATGATCCCATTTTTTATTAAAAAATCCTGAAAAGTACTATTAATCAATTTTCATGCCATCCAATTCTATATTTGTATATCACTTGTATATTTCATGTCATTCAAGTATATACTTTTTTCAGTTCTAAAAGAAAATATGGCAATGGTATGATCCAGAAAGCCTAAAAACTCATAGTACCATCATTAGACTCTTTCCCAAATACACTGGAATATTCTGTGCAAAATTTTCATTTGGTTTTGTCAGCTAGTCATTCTTTCCTCTTTGTTTTCAGTTACATCATCTCATACATATCCCTCATTATTTCATAACTAAATTACTGGAAAAGCATTCTAATTTACCTTGCTTGCTTCTAGTCTTTCTTCATTTCAATCTAACCTGCATACTGTGAAATGTTAATCACCATTAAACATTTCTCATGTCTCTTATTTCTCAGACATACTCCTTACTTTCAGAATTCATAGAACAAGAGCTGAGGATGTAACACAATGGTAAAGCTCTTGCCTAGCATGCACGAGGCCATGGGTGTGATCTCCAGCACTGAAAATATATACACATGCATGCATGCACACACGCATATATATATACACACTAGTTAAGGTTTTAAAAAAGCATGTCTAATTCTATCATTTTATATGCCATATATATTCATAGTCACATATATATGTGTATATATATATATAATTATACTAAAAAAGTGATACGCCACAGATCAGAACTAAAGACTTAATAATATAATAAATATATAAAAATAACATTAAGGATATATAAGAATTACATAGTATTATATTTTTATCTTCTGATGCTGGCAGTAACACCTTTTTATCAAGTTAACTAAATCCTGCCTTAACATATCTATTTGTCCTAGCCATCCCAGTGTTTTACTATATAATTGCATTAACTATTTACTCAACTATGTTAAACATACCCCCAAATAGACATTCTACTCTGGAGAGGTAAGGTTTTTACTGTCCCTCTGGACCATCTCTTCCCACCCCTGTGAGTATATTTGGACAGTCCTTTCCCTGGAATGCTTCCCACATTCTCCTTTGCTTCTCATCCACCAGGAATTCTGGTCAACATCTTTTCTGGCCAAAGTGAAGCTGATTCTCTTTCTTTATTGGATCCCTATGGTCTATAAGGAACACCTTTACTACATCCTATTATTTGTTTATGTTTATGCCTCCATAGCTCATTCACTCTTAAATCATTTCTAAAATCTTGTTTAGAACTAATATTTATTCCTCTTGCTTGACTCTCACTGCCAATGGAAAACATAATCATTTCAGTGTAAAACAAGTGTGTATGAATTACTCTTTGTCCTTCCCTAATAAGTTGATCATTTGCCTCTCACCTTTCTATAGGACAAATAGATAAATGAACAAAATAACAACATGGTAAGGTAACTTGCCCCAGTAATAAATGTCCCCTGAATATATACATATGATATATTTATATATAGTATATTTATAATATATAAATATACTATATATATACACAAATATATAAAACCTTAGGCAACTGTCAGAAGTTGGTGATGAAAATTAGGCTCACATTGGGCTTGTGTGCTGTCTTCTCATAGCAGCTCCACAACCCTTACCTATAGCTTCAAATGCTCCAGGAAGGATTTACCCAGTGATACCCAGAGAAGAAGATCAGGCCATGCAAGTGAGAGAGACAGTCCGGAAGTACTTCCCTGAGACCTGGATCTGGGACTTGGTGGTACTCAAGTAAGTTATGTGTTGCCTAGAATTTAGTTTAGGTGAGGATTTGAATCCTTGGTACTGTCCTTGGTTCCTGATCCTTTTATTTCTGCTTTGTTCTTTTCATGTAAATATGTAGGCTTGTGGTTCCTGCTAATAATAGTTAAACAATGCAATTTTTTTTCTAATTTGGTCCTGAGATAACTAAAATTATAGGAAGCAAGAGACTGTCCTCTCCCCTAAGAGAAAACCAGATAAAGAAAGAAGGTACAGAAGGAGAAATGGAGTGAGCAAGGATGGATGGGAATGAGGAAAGAAAGAAAGGAAGGAGAGGGAGAGAATACTACAAAGACATAGAGGGGGAGGGAGGAAGGAAAGGAGAGGGGAGAGAGAGAGAGAGAGAGAGAGAGAGAGAGAGAGAGAGAGAGAGAGAGAGAGAGAGAAAGAGAGGGTGGAAGGAAGGAAAGTAAGAAAGGGAAGAGAAAGAGAATTACCAGAACCCTCACTAGAAGCACCAAACCTTAGATCAAGTTTAGTATTTACCATTCTAGGTTACTGAGTTACCAAGTTGTAGGAACAGCTCTGATTTGTGCTACAAAAGAGACTCGTTCACCAATCTTTTTCCTCTCATAGTTCGTCAGGTGAAAGTGAGTTAGCAGTGAAGGTCCCTGACTCCATCACGGAGTGGAAGGCCAGCGCACTCTGCTTGTCTGGAACCATGGGCCTTGGCCTTTCCCCCATAATCTCTCTTCAAGTCTTCCAGCCCTTCTTCTTGGAACTCACTCTCCCATACTCTGTGGTGCGAGGAGAAGCCTTCACCCTCAAAGCCACTGTGTTCAACTATTTGTCCCACTGCATTCGGGTAAGGGCACTTCTCTAGAAGTGAGTGGGAGTGCAAGGAAGGAGCCCCATCATCGTTCATTACTGAGGGTTTCAGAGGAACATACTATTAAGTCAGAGCCGAATGCAATGTGTCCTAATTTTGCAAAGGAATGGGTACTCAGAGTAAAACGTCCTGACAGGTCCAAGGTAGAGGTTATTTTCAGTTCAGGATTCCCTATCTGCATATTCCTAAACTCAGACATTATTTCTACCTGATTAATTTTTTTTAAAATAGGGTCTCATTGTTGAGACCTTGAACTCATGAATCTCCTGCTTCAGCTTTCTGATTGCTGAAATTATAGGCATGTACTGCATGCCCAGCTAGAGTACTGAATTTTTAGACTCTGACTAAAGAAACAACTATTCCTTGTGTTGGCACAAGGCCAAGTCCTGGACATTTAGCCTCATTCCTGTCAGTTTTTCTGTTATCTTATTGCAAACAGCTAAACTGCAAAGTATTAGATAGGACTTACCTTGTGTAAACCCATCTAGAGGCTCTGGACTAGTCTGTACCATCCCTCCCGACTTTTCTTCCCTACTGCTGATCCTTTGCTTTCATCCTGTCATCAATTTGTGTTTGGGGTGGGGACAGGTCAGTGTGCAGCTGGAGGTCTCTTCTGCCTTCCTGGTCATCCCAGTAAAGGAAAATGAAGAATCTCATTGTGTCTGTGGAAATGGGAGGAAAACCCTGTCCTGGGCTGTGACCCCAAACTCTCTGGGTGAGTGGTAAAGTTCTTCACAAAATTCTATCTTATGCAGAAATAACTTGATTTGTTTTGCTTTGACCTCAATACATGCTTTTCCTCCTCCTTCAATACTGATCAAGAAGAAGAAAGCCATTAGATATATTGGGGAAACTTCTTCAAAGAAGGAACCATTAATATAGAATCATTGATTAATTCCATAAAAACTTCACTCACCAGGGAAGGTGAATTTCACAGCTACTGTGGAAGCCCTGCAGTCTCAGGAGTTGTGTGGCAATGAGGTGACTGAAACCCCAGAACTTCTACAAAAGGATACTGTAGTAAAGCCCTTAATAGTTGAGGTATGTGAACATACTCTGAGTTTCCAAGGTTCTGTTACATACCATACTATTATCTAATCCACGTGCGGCAGTGGCATTTCATTCCCAAGGGTATGGGTGTGTCTACAACTTGGTTATTCACTAATACTTCCTTCTCTATTTTAAAGTGATTGATTTTCCTGCTATTTTTTCTTTCAATACATAGCCAGAAGGAATAGAAAAGGAAGAAACTTTCAACACACTGTTGTGTGTATCAGGTAAGCATAAAAAATATATTAAATTCACATGTTAATTCATTTATTAGATTATATAATTGTAGAATAAATGTCCTTTGAGACATGCCTTTCTCTGAAAACAAAACAAAACAAAAACCCTTACACTCTTCCATGAATAAATCTAAAGACATTCAATGAAGAATATCCCTCTCCTGATTAAAAAAAATCTCTTTCAATTGGGCTGAATTTTCTCAGAGACATAAAAAAGAAATAGCATTGAAGGTGCTACTATTATTGTCATGTTTTAAGGATAAAGAAGAGAAGCTAAAAGACTTGTCTGAAAACTCTCAACTAATAATGAAGGCTTGAGCTGTCGACCTATGACAGGATTCTTTCTAATACATCTTTGTTTCCCAAACTTCTCTTAAAACTGTATTCAAAATACTGAAATATCTATGTAGCACTAATACTATATATTATCAAGTTATAGTCATATAAATACTGTCAGTTTAAGTGTACCCAGGCTTGTACTTTGATATATTTAAGGAGGATCTGTAGGTCATTAACCTACATATAAAAATAATGTTTTACTAATACCATTAATATAATCATATAGAGATTACCATTTAAAAATTTGATCATTTGCCATCTAAAATTATCTTGAAGACAATGCTCTTTTTCACAAAACTCTTCCCTATAGAGGTAACCCTGAACTGAGTATAGGGTTACAAGCCAACAAACATCACAAATTAAAAATATCATGAATCACAAATGCATTTAATACACCTAACCTATGGACCATCATAGTTAAGCAATACAGTTGTTTCCTCTGTGATCCTATGTCCACTGGAGCTGAATCTTGCTAAGGCTGCCCAGCATCACCAGAGAGAATCATAATACATACACTAGTCTAGGAAAAGGTCAAATTCAACATCTGAAGAACCAGCTGTTTCTACTGAATGTTCATCACTTTCACACCATCCAAAGCAAAGTCATCATAAGTCAAGGACTGCCTATGGAAGCATCTTCGGTAATCTCATCTAGGCACATAGCTTTAAAAACAACTACCTACTAGAGTTCCCAAAATTTACATCATTCATGCACACTTCCTTCCTGATCTCAAATTCATGTGAATACATAAATGCCCACTCATCATGTGTACTTGCTTGCAGGTTTGATATACATCTCAAAACTAACATGCTCAAAACACTGAAGTTCTGTTGGTCCCCACAACTTCCTTCTGTTGGGAAAAGTTTTCTGCATCTCAGATGATAACAATTTATTCTTCAATTTGCAGAGGATAACACTTTTGAAGTTGCATACATTACATTTTTTCACTTACAGTCCACACACAATCCACTCACAAATGTAGTTGGCTCCACTCTCAAGTTATTTCAAAACTCTATACGGTTCTCACCGTATCCATTCTACTCTGGTCCTTTCTCTGCTGGTCTATCTCAAAACTTTCTCCTGATCATTTCCCATTCTTCCCCTATAGTGAGAGGGATCCTTTAAAGAATATATTAGATCAATCATATCATGTCCTTCCTCCATGCAAGTCTTCAGAGGTTTCCTATATTGCTCTATATTAAAAGCTAAATTTTTAATGTTACCTACAAAACCTCACTACCTCCATAATTTTATATACTATTAATCTCTCCCTCAGTCTCTCTGTTCAGGCCACACTGACACCCTTCCACCTCTTGGACCACACCTAGCACACTCCAATATCTGAAGTCTTTTTATTTTTGGTTCCTTTTTCTTGGAAGCACCTTTTCCTAGATATCTATAGCTCTTATTCCCTGACTTACAGTCTCTACTCACATATGACTTTTTTACCAGTGAATATTTTGATAAGAAACCTGTTCTCCACATGTTGCACTTCCTGACTGGCCTTGCTTTACTATGTCACCATATAAACATATAAACACTTTCATTTTCTCTCTAGTAGCTATATACTAAATATATCTTTATTTACCTAAAGTGAAACCTCCAAGGGGCTCAGGAAATTTGTCTTGAAAATTGCAGCATCATTGCCCTTAGAACAGAACTTGGCACAGATCACACACTTAGTACATATTAATAGAATGAATGTAATTATGTAAAAACACTGCCAACTGTAGACATTAATATAAGCTGTGAAGAAAAGGAAGTAAGTATACCATAAGGTTTATGCTTTTAATGAATGCTATAAAAATATAGCACAGAAATACATGACTAATAAGAACTTTGCTGAGAAATCCATCATGGCTTTAGGAGAAACTTGAATTGCATTAAAGAAACTATATAATGTCCAAGTGAAATGAAATGTTGGATCTCAATCATGTAGAGGGAAAAGATTCATAAAAATAGAACATTTCTTTTTATTTCCCTCCTTTATATGTATTTATCTTCTTTTATTAGATACCGGGTTGCCAGAAAAGTTGTCACTGAAAGTTCCTCCAAACGTGGTTGAAGGATCTGCCAGGGCAACATATTCAGTTTTGGGTGAGTCTCAGACCAAGAGAAACAGTTGTCCCTCTTCATAATTGAAGGGCATGGGGCCTCACCATCCATAATTAATGAAGTCCCTGACACTTGGCATTGGTTTGAGAAGAGGAGCACCACACTAAAGATTGTACTTGTATTAATTAGAAATGGGGTTGAACAGATGGTATGCTAGTATTGTGCTGTGATGTGCTCTAAAAACTAAGAAGAATCACCTCTCTCTGTCCTCATCTTCAAATGATTTACTAGATGACAACACTTCCTAGAAGATTTGAAAATAATTGATAATTCAGTTTTATCAACCACATGTCACATTGGAAAAAATATTATCATCTGCCATTCAGTTCCTTCTCTACTTTCTTGAACACCTTAGAACCATCTATTTTATTCACCTTTTGCATTGCCTTCCACTTCTTGGGCTTTTTTTTTAATAATCATTTGTGCTTGTTGTCCTTCCATAAACAATGTGACCTCTCAAATATCTAGTAACACATTTTCCTTACCCAGCACAAACTAGCCCTTTGTTCCTCTGATTTTTTATAACTTTCACTTCCCAGGTGATATACTAGGCTCTGCAATGCAAAACCTCCAGAATCTCCTCCAGATGCCTTATGGCTGCGGAGAACAGAATATGGTCCTTTTTGTCCCTAACATCTATGTCCTGAACTATCTAAATGAAACACAACAGCTGACAGAGAAGATCAAGTCCAAAGCCATCAGCTACCTCATCAATGGTGAGAGAATACATCAAAAGAAGAATCTTTAATAAGGAGCTCCTGAATATCTTTTACTGAACTCAAATTGGCTTCTCTCTCAAGAGAAATCATAGTTTCTGATTTCTAATGAGATATTGCACTATATGATAAGAAATTTCAATGTATCATCAGCCACCTAATAAGCAATACTTGCACTATGACTCCTCAATAGTATCAAAGAAAAAATAATTTTTTCTGATGTCTCTGCTACTTCAGAAGTCTCTGAAAATTTCCTTTTCAGGATATCAAAGACAGTTGAATTATAAGCATGCTGATGGTTCATACAGCACCTTTGGAGATCGTGATGGTAGAACTCCGGGAAACACTTGGTAAGATGCAATTACACATGCTATCAGTTGATCCATGATATCTTGTGAATTTAGAAATAGCTATTTTCTAATGCATGAAATTCTTCCATGGAAGATGGTTAGTCTTTAAATCCACATATTTATTAATCTAACTAGATAATTTCTAAAAACTTATCTGCTCTGGTAGCACTGGAGATAGTTGTAAAATAGGAATCCCCTCAAATGGAAATATAAGGCAAAAAGTGTCATTGTGTAAAATGAAAAAAAAAACTTCCACACTGTATGTTAAGAAGAAGTGAGAGAGGATGGAAAGTGACTGTTGGGCAAAAAAAAAAAAAAGTCATTCAGGAAATGCACTTTTGATGGTGGAGAGTCTTAGGGCCCCAGCAAGAGTTTCATAAGAAAAAAGAAAATTCTTTGAGGTTTTTGTGGCAGTACTGGGGTTTGAACTCAGGGCTTCACACTTGGAAGGCAGGCGTTCTATCATTTGAGCCACCAACCACATATGAGAGGGAGAAGGTAAAAGAAGGAAGTTAAGAAGGTGAATATGGTTGTTTTACAATCTATACCAGAATGAATAAAAGTTTTTAAACATACTGAAACCACCGTAAGAAGGGTACTAAGTTAGAAAGAAGGAAAATAAAAGAGATGAACCAATTCAGGTTATAATATATATATACATGGAAATATCACAAGGAAACACCCTGGGTAGCTATCTTAAACAAACAAAAAATGTCATTTTGTTTTCTTTTACAAAATTAGAGAACAGGAGGGTGGAACAGGTCCTGTCTGGGGGTGGGGGATTGGTACCAGTGGGAGGAGGAAAGAGGTGGGGAAAGGATGTAAAAGAGTGAATATAGTGCAAATATTGTATACACATGTGTGTGAATGGAAAAATGATGCCTATTGGAGAATGATGAAGGGGGAGAATTCAAGTATGATATATTTGGTATTTTATAAAAGCTTCTGTAAATGCCTCAATGTACCCCCACCCAGAACAACAATAAAAAATAAATGAATAAAAAGACTGAAAAGCCATCAACTCTGGGCAAATCAATAAAGCTGAGAGATTAAAAATAAAGATCCAGATGTTTGCAATAGGCAATATTCAAATCTTAAGGATCCTTTCCCCATCAGTTGCTCAGCCCCCAGTAATGGCCTCCACTGACTGGCAATGATCAGTGTCTAAGGGCAGCACACAACATGAGCTCCAAAAGCGAGGTGGCCTTCCTGTCTCAATCTCTTTGTTTGCTGGACAGGCTCACTGCATTTGTACTCAAGTCGTTTGCTCAAGCTCAGTCACACATCTTTGTGGAGAGTGCATACATCATGAATGCTCTCACCTGGCTCTCACAGAGGCAAACGGAAAGTGGTTGTTTTCAGCGTTCTGGATCACTGTTAAACAATGCCATGAAGGTGATGCTTTCTCTTAATTTTGCTCTGGTCACTGAAGATTGTGAAATGCTGGAAGAAATGATGTTTCTATGAATGCATTGGTTCTAGTGACAAAGATTTGAGGAAGAATGGTGGGCTCTAATCCCCCAGAAATCTGGCAATAAACTAGCAGTAGTTCATTGAATGAAAATAGCATAAAATAAATCCCCCAAACCTTGTATATTATTAAAAATGAGAAAAAGTGACTTGAACAGACTCCACAATTTTAGGGTAGAAAAAGAAAGTGGGGAATAAACCAAAATGCACAAGAAAAGAAACTACCTAGTGAAGATGGCAAAGAGAAAGGAAGAGGAAGCATAATGTTCACACTGGCTAGTGAACATTGGAGTTGTTGAAACCTCTGCCTCTGCTCCTTCCAGGGTGGGGTGGATGATGAAGTGACACTCTCTGCATACATCACCATTGCCCTGCTGGAGATGCCACTGCCTGTCACTGTATGTACAAGCACTTCCCCCTATTTCCTTCACAAATGTAAGGAATGAAAATCTCAGATTAATGATTTCCCATTACTTTCATGGTATTTAATTTGAGTATATTTCACTGGAATATAAAGGACTAAGTCCTTTTGGAGGCCACAGAGAATGGTTAATTCTCTAATCTGATCTCTAATGTTGCATTGACACACTGGGATTTTTAATTTGGGGTTAGTCTGGAGACAGTTCCTTTGTCTTATTCTGGTATTTTAGGATTGGATCTTGCCCTCTTTATAGCACAGCATTGTCCGCAATGCTCTCTTCTGCCTGGAAATGGCCTGGGACTCCATCTCAAAGACCCAAGAAAGTCATGTCTATACCAAGGCATTATTGGCCTATGCCTTTGCCCTGGCAAGGAACCAGGCCAAGCGAAGTGTGCTGCTTGAATCACTAGGCAGAGAGGCTATAAAAGAAGGTAAGAGCTGGTATGGTAAAATATACTTATATCACAAATGATCAGTAAAGGGGGAGCACCTTGGTTAAACTCACAGCTTTCATGCTACCTCAATTGCAGTTACAATAAGAATTATCATTGATCCATCGCTTAATTCCTCTAGGTAAAATGGACCATTTTACCAATGCAATTATTGGTTTTATTTAGCCAAAGTTTAGTACAATGCAAGTTTGAATAGACACAAAGACTCCTTGTGGTCGTCTGGAAGCTTAACTTACTTACTTGGCAAAGATTTGATTGATGGTGACTAACACTTTTTTTTTATTTATGTCATTTCATTATCTGAGCTCTAATTATAATCATCACTCATGGGTTAGATTTGAAAACATTCTCTAGCTAAATATTTTATTCTTTTCTATTTCAAAGAGGACTCAATCCACTGGCAACGTCCTAGGAACGTTCAGGAAACTACAACATTCTATTTTCAACCCCGGGCTCCTTCCGCTGAAGTGGAGATGACAAGTTATGTGCTCCTGGCCTATCTTACTGGCCTGCCTACCCCATCTTCAGAGGACCTGTCTGTGGCATCACGTATTGTGAAATGGATCATCAAGCAACAAAACCCCAATGGAGGCTTCTCCTCCACTCAGGTCTGTGGAGAAACTCTAAGAGAGAAAAATTAATATAGTAACAGATACATAGATACAACCATGTTCTAGGAATTAAATACCTGAACAGTTGGTATTTCTAATTTATACTTTCTCCCTTCCTCCATCACCAGATTCTAGCCTTATTATTTTATGTATGGATTACTGCTCTATATGATAGTATCTGCTCTCTTTACTGAACCCCTAACAGTGCAGGCTGATCAATCTTGCTGTAGCCATGCCTTCATGGGACTGAATAAATCTTTTCTCCAAAGACTAAAATTATCTAATATTTTGTCCAAAATATTTCCTCTACCCAGTAAATATGAATCATAAATATAATTAGACATATCCCTTTGCTTTAACTGGACTTGGTTCACTGCCATTTCCATGTCTTCCCCTATAACATTCCAGGTGGTCCTTGATACTTCTCTCTTCATGAACACTTGTCATGATTCAAGTATAATCTTTATTTCTTACCTTCTACAGTATTCTTTTAGTATTTAGCACATAGTTTCTTTTTTCCTTCTATGACTTTTGTAACAAACATTGCTATATAAACAAATTATTTCAATACTCTCTGCTTGCATCATATATTGGGGTCTTGTTTCCATATGTGTATTATAATCTGATGAGAAGACTTTTTCATTTGCATCAAAATACCTATCATTAATAACCAGATTTCAACCTAGTTCAAATTATTGAACTGTCAGTGTCCATTGTGTGCTGGAGGATAGTAGTATTGATGTCTTACATTTAGTGTGATTTTCCTATTGTCATCCTCTCCTGTGATTTCTATACCTATCTTTTCTTCAGGATACAGTGGTAGCTCTCCAAGCCCTCTCCAAATATGGTGCAGCAACTTTCACTAAAAGTAAGACAGCAGCTTTGGTCACCATCAAATCTTCTGAGACCTTCTCTCAAGAATTCCATATAGATGATACCAACCGCTTACTGCTGCAGGAGGTGGGATTGCCAGAAATTCCAGGAGACTACAGCACCACAGTGTCAGGATCAGGATGTGTGTACCTCCAGGTGAGACTGCCAAGGTCTAGAGGATGCCACAAATGAGAAAGAAAGTCTCAGGGTTACTTCTGAATTTCTAAATAAATAAATAGATGTGTGCTGAGGGCAGGAATGAATTATTTGGAAGAGATTGTGATATTCTTTGAGTGCAAAGATAAAGGATTTGTTATTCTTGTTATTTTTTTAGACATCCCTAAGATACAACATCCTCCCCAAGAAAGAAGGGAAAGCACACTTCACTCTGCAGATTGATACGCTTCCCAAAAATTGTGATGGAATAGATGCTCAGAAGAAATTCCACATTCACATCAACATTAGGTAAATCCTAAACCACAACTAGGCCTTTTGTAGAATATGGTAAAATTGATTTTCTTCAGTGAGGAAATTCTATTGTCTAAGATCATACATACATAATGAACAGGAACATCTTGTAGTATTTATTAACAATCAAATTTTTTCACTCTTACTGAAAAAGCCTAATGTTGAGAATGTGGTGTTTCCATACCTAAAAAATGAAGTTGAAATGTGGTTTGTCCAAACTACCACAACACAGATATAGTAGATACAGAAATTGATGAGAGCAATAAAGAAGGTGGACTTCTCTCTTCAAACAATGCCAAGGAATTTTATCAAAAAAACCTATCTCTTCACCTTGACTTCATAGTTACACTGGGGAACGACCCAGCTCCAACATGGTCATTGTTGATGTGAAGATGGTATCAGGCTTCATACCTATGAAAGCATCGGTGAAAAAGGTAAAGCCTAAATCTCTTACAGGTTTCAATGTCATGATAAATGTTGATACTTATGGATGCCAATTCAATTTTATTGGTATAGTTTTCAAGAGTTTTATTGATATACTCCTTCAAAAATGTCTAAAGTATGTTTCCATGATTTAAATAACTGATATTATTATTATATGGTATTGAGTATAAGGCATAAGTCAAAAATACAGTGAGTTATGCTCCATAAGGCCATGAGACATCTAGGTTTGTGGAGTGGTATTGAATTACCTTCCAACTATACATATAGAGAAAATCAAGGGGTATACATGTACATATGCTATTATGTATATGTATCTGTATATACATTTGTAGCATATATGTATAGTACATGTATGAATCTATGGAGAGAGAGAAAGGGAAAGCAAGGATTCAATAATTATTCTTCTTTTACAGAAGAAATATAAATTAATAGTTTGGATAGTCTTGAGAGGCCATGAAGATAATAAATATTTGAAAACTGCTCCCAGTATAATGTGTTCTCACTCCATATTTCTGGTTTATCTTCTTTCTCAACAGCTTCAAAGTCAGCTTAGCATTCAGAGGACTGAAGTGAGCAACAATCACGTTCTAGTCTACTTTGAAAAAGTAAGACTTTGGGTGACTATACAAGATCTGTAAGAACTAATAGAGGTTCTTACAAGCCAAGCCCCTCGAGATTCCAAATAGTGCTCTTCATAGACACAAGTGAGAAAGGGAAAAACCTACAAAGGGAAATGAGACCTGAACTGGTCAACAGGGCTCAACTGAGTACATTTGAGTATCCATAGAATTTTTTGTCCTTCCTGTAGTTGTCATTGGGTATATTGGGCAGGTCAAAAATGTCCCATTCTTTCCAAGGTTTTTATATGGATGGATAGCACAATTGTGGGGCTGATGATATTTTAAGAAGAAAAGATAGTAACTAGTAGATAAGTTAAGCTTTGATTTCAATTCAGTTCTCCTATCTCTCCAGCTAACAAAGCAAATCCTGAGTTTCTCCTTCTTGGTGGAACAAGACATTCAAGTAAAGAATTTAAAACCAGCTATAGTAAAAGCTTATGATTATTATGAAACAGGTGAGTGGAATTTTGATAGGAAAAATTGACTAAATTACTAAAGAGGCATGTTAACTAAAACAAAACTCTACTATTTTTCACTGGAAGAAAAACTGAGTTTATGGTCACTGGATAATCATGTTCTTGTATATTAACCTCTCTTGCTTTCCCTAAACAAGTCTTAGAGCCATTCTTAAAATGGCTGATCTTAAAAATAGATCATAAAGCAGTCTTTGATCAGCTCTATTCGCATTGCTCTATAAAATCATTTGTTCTGAGCTGATTACTCTAGAAAGATGAGAACAGCAATAAATGAGAAATCACATCTTAGTATCAATGTGTGATATAGGACCTATAATTTGATCTGATTTTGAGGTTCGTTTGGATAATCTCATGAAATTTGAGAAATTTTGTACCATACTGGGAAATTCTTCCATTTGCTTATGCTTTTGAACTTCAAATTTACCAGCATTATAGTATACTATAATGTTAAATTTTATCCCCTTCTTAGATTAAGGAAAGGACCAGAGAGAAAACTACAGCTCCTATGGGAAAATGCAGCTATGGAAAGGCACTACCAAAGTCCTACAATTACACACAAGCACCCGTCAGTTCTGTGCCTACTCCCAATGTTCTCTTAGTCTCCTCCCCCATTCCAGATAACTTAGTATAGAACCCATTTTCATTAGCTCTGCAGCTGTACTTTATGCCTTTTTTTTCTTTATTTATACAGGTTATTTACAAATAGCTGCTTATTGGCCAATCATTTTTGTATTTCAGATGAATTCACCATTGGAGAATACAGTGCCCCCTGCAGTGCTGGTAAAGTATAAACAGTCAACTTTAGTACCAATTTAAAGAAAATTAATAGGCCCCTCGTTTCTCTACTAAAGCTGCCTCCTAAGATGAGTGCCTCATTTCCACATTACAAAGCCCTAATATATCATTTATGAATTGAATTATACCAAATATATCATAGAACATCTCAGTAGAAAAAGAAGTGCTAGTAAATTGTAATTACTGGTATTTGGAATGACTTGTTTCTAGGTAAATTCAAGAATTTGTCACATATATCATCTTGTGTTTACCTTACATTCTATACCTGTGATCACCCCTACCTTTCTAAGATATTTCTAAATATATATTAGTTAAGGTCACTATAATTACATGTCACTGTAATTATCCACACAGCACAGCCTAAGAGATGTGATCTATAAGGCTTTCCTTTAGGAAGCTGACAGGGTCAGTCTTTTGACAGTATAGAATTTTCCAACTCACCATTTTAAAATATGAAATAAAAACTTAGATCATCCCCATCACTAAAAATAATTAAATTTATTTTAATTGAGTATTTATATTTGAATATGAAAATGTGTTCTTTTAGTAGGTCACAGAACTTTTCTTAGTATTTCTTCTGCTGTTTTCTTCTGCTATTTAGAATCTAAGCAAGGAAATGCTTAAAAATGGAAAGAGATTTCATCAGACAAACGTCTTCAAAATGAAGAACAAAGACATTAGGAGAAAATATAGTGAAAGAAAGAAGAAAGGAAATTGGAAATTCCTAAATTTTGTATGTCGAATAAATTTATGACATTCATAATTCTTTTTATTTTTCTTTATCAATATTTTCTTATCTGAAAAATGTTTTTAATCTTGGTATCACTTTTACCACCACTTAAAGAAGCTATTTAAAAGAGGTACACTTGGAAACACTAAACACTATAGACAAATTAAAGTAGAATTCCAAAAGAATTATTAAGACTTTAAGCAAAACTTGTTTAAAAGTACATTTTATACATTCAATCTGCTCTAAGGGGAAATCATTACTTTTATCTTTCAAAACTAGCTATCAACAATCATCTAAAAGGAAAACACAAATTATCCCCATTGCAGTTTGAGTTATATTGCCTCAGAATATAAATTGTAGTCCTCACCTGTAGTACCTGTGACTATAACCTCACATGGAAATAGGGTCTTTGTAGATGTAATTAAGATGTAAGTTAAGATGAGATGATACTGGAGTGTAGTGGTCACCTAGTACAATATGACTAGTGTCCTACTGGGGATGAGATATTCATAAGTAGGAAAGACAATGTGAAAAGATACACAGGAAATTTCCATGTGATGATGGAGGCAAACATGCAAACACCAAGGATTGATGGAAAAAACAGAAGCTAAGAGAAGGGAATGAAACAGATTTTCCACTAGGACTTTAAGAAGAGCATGGACTTGGTTTGGAATGTTAAAAGTATTCATGACCAATACCTTGATTTTTGGACTTCTAGCCTCCAGCTATGAAAGAATAAATTTTAGTGGTGTTAAGCCACCTACTTTGTGTTACTTGGTTATGGGAGGCTTTGGAAACTACTATCATCACCAATTACAATTATATAACTACCTCAATTTCATCATTGCACATTGTATACATATATCCAATTATCCCACTCTACCCCATAAGTTAAAACAATAATGATAATTAATTTTTTAATTATTTATTTTTATTAATTGGCCTAATTTACTTAGTTCATTCTTGTCTTTCAAATCAGAGCAAATAAGTGGATCTCAAAAGATTAGGTGGAATAAGGAGAACACAAGAAATTTTTCTTTGGATTTAATACATTTTTACTCAACTTAATTTTTCATTTTTGTTATTTATTTATTATTTTATTAATTTATTGTACAAAATAAGGGGTTTCATTATGAGATTTCCATGCATGCATATAATGCACTTTGATCTTATTTACTCCCTCCCATATACCCCATCCCCTGGTCTCTCTCCCCCAAGTAGTCCTCTCTTGAGATCTTGATTGGCTTGTATTTATGGATCCAGATTCTGTATGAGAGAAAACATGGTATTTCACTTTGAGTGTGGCTCATTCACTTAACATGAGGATCTCTAGATCCACCCATTTTTCTGCAAATGTTATAATTTCATTCTTCTTTATACCTAAATAATAGTCTGTTGTTCATATACGTAGTCCATTATCCATTCATCTGTTTCGAATGTGTGAAGATGTAAGAAAGTGTTGTGTGTCTCTAATCCACCATCTTAAGTCTGTCCATTTTGTTTTTAATTTTACATATTCATAGGGTTTCACAACATGTACACATTTTGTATCAGGGTATTTAGTGTGTCTATCACCTCATACATTTACAATTTTTTTTAACATGAGAGCATTCAAAGTCCTCTCTTTTAGCTCTTTTGGAGTATTCAGTCTGATGTTGGCAAGTCAGTCATTCTATTGTGTGAGAAAACACCAGAAGTCATTCCTCTTATCTATCAGTATCTTTTACCTTGTTCCTGTTGACCAATCTCCCTTATTCTCACTATCCCTCTGCCTTCCCCAGCCTCTGGTAACCATCTTTCTACTTCACTTCCATGAGACTGACTTTTTTAGACTCTACAGATGAGTGACATCACGCAGTATTTGTCTTCTGGACTTTATTTTACTTACCACAATGGCTTCTAGGCTCAACCATGTTGTCAACCTTTTACAGATGAATAGTATTCAGTTGTGTATATGTAACATGCTGTCTTTATTCATTCATTAGTTGGTAGGGACATAGATTAATCCCATTTCTTGGCTCTTGTGAATCATGTAATAAATATAAAGTACATTTATTTCTTTGAAAGTTTCACACTATTTTCAATAATGGTAGTAGTAATTTATATTCCCACCTGCAGTGTATGAGCTCTCCTTTCTCCACATCCACACCAGCATTTGTTATTTTCTTGTCTCTTTTATATTAGACATTTTAATTGTTTTTGTTTTTTTTTTTCCATCAGCCTGGGGCAGGGCTCAGTTTATTTTGGAAACATGTGCCTTCCAGAATTTTCATTTGCTGCAATTAAAAAAAAGAAACAACCACCAAACATCAAAGACTGTGAGGTTCTTATCCAAACAATCCTGCCAAGGCTGGTTTTAACACTTCAGGTCCTCTTAGAATCCCAGGCCTGGAGGCTGCAGGAGCAATCACTGAATTCCCAAAGCAAGAGACAGGCATCAACTTGCCCAGAGTCCCTCTAAGCAGAACTAGCTGTTCTTCCAGATCAGGCTGGTGAGGCTGCCTGACACCCCCACCAAGGAGAACCTCCTGATGGATGTCCTTGGAGGGATGCTTGCCTGACCCAGGAGGTTTCAGGCTAGCTCTCCCCAGTCTCCCGGCCTGAGTGGTCTCCTCCAGGCCCAGAAGTCACACTGCCAAAGTACTCCTGTAGTTCCAACAGGGCCCGGAAGCGATGGGAGATGGCATTCTTCTCCACCTTGGGCATCTCGGCATACCTAAAGAGTACAGTAGCAGTTCAGAGAACAGGAAGCCCAGACCTCTGGAGGAGGGGCATACCCAGTCCATCCCTGCAGCCCAAAGATTAAGGAGTCCCAGGAAAGGAGGGCAGTGGCCACCAGCTCCTAGCAGCCTGTAAAATTTAATTGGACAGTTTTAAATTCCTCTGTAGACAGAAACCCTTATTAATGAGCATGGCAGGATAGTAAACTTGCTCTAGTTGCCAAAAGTTGTTAAGGGAAGCTGGGGACAGGGATGAGCTGCATGTTTGATCAGCTTTGTCATCTGTTGACAGGAAGCAGTGGGCCTGACAAAAGCAAACACAGCAGTCTTCTCTAATGCACTGGGGAGGGGGGCCCTGGCAGCAGGCCAACAGCCCATCAGTGAGGTGAGAAGTCACACCCTGCCCATAGGCTTCAGACCTTCATTGGCCAGTACCATAGCCACTAGCCACATGTGGCCAATGGCCACCCAATCTGACAGTGCAGATACACAACACTTCTGACACCCAAGAGCATTAAGACAGTGCTACTTCACAATGTCCTCAGCCCTGTATGGCTACCATGAGGCCTCATGCAACATTTCCTAAAGGCCCCTCCAACCTGGAAAGCCCAATTCCAGTAACAGCCTTTATGTGTCATGTAAATAAGAGGGATCAGTATAAAACACTGAGAACATGTGGCACTGCATTCACCAGAGGCTGCAAAACCGAGTATCTTCCAATTCAGATGAGGGAACTAGAGAGTCATCTCACAAAACATCTTGATAGGTCAAGGCCAGAGAGAGAAAGTCACTGGTCACACAGCTGAAGGCAGAACCCAGGATGCCTGCTCCACCTTGCTGTGGACTGGGCCACATAGATTCCTTGTGTCCACCCCACCAGAGCTGCCCTCAGAGCCTTCCCCATTCCCATCCGCATGTCTGCACATGGGCAGGATGCCCACCTAAGACATGACCAAGGAAAGAAACTGGGGCTCCTTACGTTTGCTCATATCCATCAGGCTGAAAGCATGGGTCCCAGCCAAAGTCTCGGCAGCCTCGGGGCACCACAATCTGGCCCTGCCACAGGAAAGGGGGACAGGGGTAACTGGAGATGCATTTGGAGGCCAATTTGAGTTTGGTTAGTTTGTGAATTTGATTAAACCCAATTTATTCAAAATGTAGTTCAAGGGGTCTACAGTACTTGCAAATGCTTCCTGAATACCTAAGTAACATGCAGAGTGAGGCAAGGAGAAGGAACCTCTGGGTCCAAACTCCCTCTCTACACTTTTAATAAATTGTGACCTCACTGAAGAAAAATGGGTCAAGTTTGAAAAACTGACCAAAAATATGTGGTTCTAATAGGAAGTTAAGGGCCCTGAATTCTGAGGATAAGGTCTATACTTACAGCATTTCTCAAAACACAAGACAAGGAGCTAGGGATATGGCTCTGTGGTAAGAGCACTTACTTAGCATGTAACAATAAACGAAGGAGCCTCTAGTAGGTGAATGAAACACCCTAACAGAAAGTACTTAGCAGAGGCCAACATGGCAATGAACTCAAGAAATACTGGCTATGACAGGCAAATTCCAAAATGAAAATGTCACAAAGAACAAACTATAGTCCAATGTTGTAAAACTTCATGTCATCAGAGTAAAAAATCTAAAGCTGGGTGTGGTACACCTGCAATCCCAGCTACTCAGGAGGCTGATAACGGGAGGATCACAAATTTGAGGCCAGCCTGGGAAATTTACCAAGACCCTGTCTCAAAACAAAAAATTTAAAAGTCTAGAGATACAGCTCAGTGGCAGCGCACTTCTCTAGCATGTGCAAGACCTTGGGTTCAATCCCTAGTACCACAAACAAACAAAAAGTAATTAAAAATATAGGGCTGGAGTTGTATCTTGGTGGTTGAGTGCTTGTCTTCCATGTGGAAAGCCCATTTCAATCCCCAGCATGGTAGGGGGAAAAAGGGGCAGTGGTGGGTGTTAGAGATTAACCACATAAATGCCAAGTCATGCAAAACCAAAGGCAAATTCCATTTCTGCTAGTGGGGAGTTGTGTGACCAAAGTCAGTTAACTACTCTGAGCCTCACCCATTCCACAAGTTTTCTGAGCTCTTACAGTGGGCCTGCAGTGTTCTCAGCACTGGAGTAGTCACAAGCAGCCCAGCTTTCCCCTCCAATGGATGTCACAAGCCAAACAGGCATAACAATTAAGAAACAAAGTAGCTAGGCACCAGTGGCTCTAGCTCACACCTGTAATCCTATCTATTCAGGAAGCAGAGATCAGGAGGAACGTGGTTCCAAGCCAGCCAGGGCAAATAGTTCTGTGAGACACTATCTCGAAAAACCCTTCACAAACATAGGGCTGGTGAGTGACTCAAGGTGAAGGCCCTGAGTTCAAGCTATGAGTAAAAGGCTATGAGATAGTCAAAGAAGGCTGTACCCTTGACAGATGGATAAGATTTGAGCAGGAAGTATGGGATGTAAATACAGCTTTTGTAGCAGTTACGTTCAGTTTGTACTTTTTTTTTTTTTTTTTTTGTGGCACTGGAGCTTGAACTCAGAGACTTACACTTGTTAGGCAGGTGCTCTTACTGTTTGAGCCATTCTGCCAGCTCTTTTTTTGTGATGGGTGTTATTCAAGACAGTGTCTTGCAAACTATTTTCCCAGAGCTGGCTTCAAACCTCGATCCTCCTGATCTCTGCCTCCTGAGTAGCTAGGATTACAGAAGTGAGCCACTGGTGCCCAGTTTGTACATCTGCTTCTTACAGGGGCCTACAGTGGAGAGATCTGGGTGTATCAGACCAGGAGCTGAACCACCAGCCTCAGAGGTCAACTAGGTTTTGGGATAGACAGTGTTTTAATTGTGGTGATCAGAGATGTCTCAGAGGAAGGCCCTGATAACTCTGTCCCCAGAAGACCCTGGGTGTGGACTGCAGAGCCCTCTGGCTGCACACCAGAGAACTGCATCCAGGTGGGTACACACCGAGGTTCGGCCCCTGAACAAAAGCACAGGATTGCTTGGGTCCCCAGTGCTGAGAGCAAAGGTGCAGAGTGCATAGGCTGATTTGTCCTCAAAGCCAGCCAGGAGCTGGTGGAGACCTGTGGAGAGATTCAGTGAGGGCTCACTCAGTACATCTGTGCTGCCCAGACTCCACCCCCAACCCCACCCTCACACCTTTATCAGAAGCCCTTGCAAGGTGGGGAGGGAAGAATTCCTCAAATTGGATTGGACAGTGGTGGGAAGTTCCAAGGGCATCAAAAGAGCTGACACCAGGGCGGGCTTGAAATTCAAAGCCCTGGGTATCTGCCTCCCTCTAGGACAAGCTAAAACAAGATTTTGTTAACAGAAAATCAGTGTGGACCAATGATGTGAACACTGTTTGATTCCCAATGCAAAATAAACCAAATGTGAAAAGGCATTTTCAAAATAACTATGTAATAAGATTAGCTTGGGGGCCTAGGGATATAGCTCAAGTGGTGGAGCACTTGTCCAGCAAGTACAGGGCCTTGAGTTAAAAACCGCACTACCACTTGAGCCATGCTCCAAGCCTCTATTCTTAAAAAAAAAAAAAGACAGATGAGTGGTAGAGCACTTGCCTAGCAAGCACAAGGCCCTGAATTCAATCCCCAGTACCTCCAACAAAATTAAATAAAGTTGACAATTATAAATATTTGTAGCCATTAATCTATTCTACTACTGTACATGTTTGAAATACTCTCCAATATAGTTTTTGTTTTGGCAGTGCTAAGGCTACAACCCACCTTGTGAATGCTACAATTCACCTTGTGAATGCTAGACAAATGCTCTACAACTAAGCTATATCCTCAGCCCTTGGTTTTTTGACAGAGGGTCTTGCTATGTAGCTCAGGCTGGCCTTGAACTCACTGTGTAGACCAGGTTGGCCTCAAACTCTTGATCCTCCTGCCGCTGCCTCCTGAGTGCTGGGATTATGAGTGTGTACCACCACAACCAGCTTTAAATGGTATTTAGTTATTGTTGTTGGTTTTTTTTTAAACTCAGGGCTTCAGGCTTGCAAAGCAGGGGCTCTACCACTTGAGCTACATTTTACTCTGGTTATTTTGGAGATGGGATCTCATGAACTATTTCCCCAGGCTGACCTCGAACTATGATCCTTACAGTCTCAGCCTCCAGAGTAGCTAGGATTACAGGCATGAGCCACCAGTACCTGGCTAGTTTTAAGTGTTTTTTAAAGCACCTAAAAAGAGAACATTTTGGCATACACACAAGGGTGGCAGCATACGGCCTGCTGGGGCCTGGGAGGGGCAGTCCCAAACCCTGCAAGCCAGGCAAGACCCTGGCTGAAGAAAGTACCCACAGGCAGTTGCTAGGGTAAAGTCCCTCATGAGAGCCAGAATCAACAACTATAGTTCCTTTGTCCCTCAAAATCACAGCTCTGCAAATTTCAACCATCCATTCCTCCCCACCTCAATGCTCTCTGGAGTACAAGGAAAGTGTGAGGGAAATGGAGGTGAAGGGAAGTTCTATCGTGAGGACTGAAGCCTGGGACTCCAGATTCTCAATTCCCAACAGATCCAAGAGAAGAAACAATGGAGACAATACCTTCAGGCTTTAACTTCTCCAGAAACCATTTGATGTAGGGACCAGGGAGCAATTCCTCATTGTGGTTTTGATTGGCATGTTCTTTATGATTAATGGTGTTGGTCACTTTTCATATGCCTGTTGTATTTCTTCTCTCAAGAAATGTCCAAGGACTGGCAGAGTGGTTCAAGTGGTAGAGCACTTGCCTAACAAGCTTGAAGCCCTGAATTCAAACCCCAGTGCCATCCAAAAAAAAAAAAAAAAAAAGGAAAGGAAAGGAAAAGAATTGACCACTGTCAAGGTTTTAATTAGGTTATTGGTTTGGGGTTTTTTATTGTTGCTGCTTGCAATACTGAGGATTAAACTAAGGGCTTCATGTTTGCTGGCAGGCACTGGACCACTTGAGCCACACTTCCAGTCCAGATTATTTGTTTTGTTTATTTTTTTTGTTTTGTTTTACTGAGTGCTGAGTTCCTTAAGTATTTCTGGATATTAACTCCTTGTCAGATGAAGAGCAAATATCTCCTCCCATGCTGTATGTTTTCTCTTCATTGTTTTCTTTTCTTCTCTTTTTTTTTTTTTTTGCGTGGTGAACCTCTGTAGTTTACTATAATCCCATTTGTCTGGCTATATTGCCTGTGTGTTTAGAATTTAAATCAAAAATATCCTTGCCCAAACCAATGCCATAGACCTTTCCCTGTTTCCTTTTAGTAGTTTTACTTTTTCAGATATTGTATTTAAGTCTTTAATAATTTCCAATGTTTGAACAAGAAAAAAGAAAATAAAATCTGAGATGTGGGGTCAGTTTTTCATTTCTAGCCTTCTGTCATACTTAGAATTTATCTCAAAAAATCTTTTGTTAAGATTCTCCAGGAAAACGTTTCTTGTTTGTTTCTCCTGAAGTCATAAAAAATATAAAAAGATGACTCATAACAAAAAATAAATACCTGAGTCATTAATATTTATGGACTACAGTGCATGAGTAGAGAAACAGATGATTTTAACAGGCTTTAACCTATTAGTCCAACTCCAAAGTAATATTTGATCATTATTTAATTCAAACTAGAAGCATTGTTGAAGACTTTTATTCTTAATGATTTTAAAAGCATAAAGGATCTGCTGTTGTTTAAATAATAATCTGAGAGACATCTTTATGTTTTCACTTAATAATTTCTGGTATTATTCTTATAAAATTTAGGAATGATAGTGAGATAACGTTAAAACAAACAATAATCTAGGTACTAAAGTCAAAGATTCAAGTTATTGTTTAACAAGCTTTGGCATAAGAAAAATCTGTGCCAAGATGTGATGTATATACTAAATCAACAGCATGAAACTTGCCATGTCCAGTAAATGAACTTTCATCACTAAAAACCCATTAATCTATTAACTACATAAAGACTTTTTCATCATCAATACAGTTGAATGACCCTTGGCCCAAAAATGTTCTCTCCACAAACAGAGCAGCTGAATGTGAAAAAATTGAAAGTAAAAAAGAATGTTTTCTTTTTTATCAAATTGTGTAAATTAAACTGAACTTTTTCTGTAAAATATTCTATAATTCATACTGAGTCTCATTGATTAAACTAGCTGCCTATTTTAACAAAGTATTTGTCGAAGTAAAATTTTTTTAAATACTGCAGATAATTTTTATCTAGAAATTTCTGGAATAAATAACACTAGATTTTGCCTTGCTTTGAATTAACTAATTTTATACAAAGCACATTTTTTTTTGAGATAAGGTCTCACTGTATAGCCCAAATGACCTCAAATTTGTGATCCTCCAGCCTCACTTCCAAATGATCAGATTATGGGTGTGTATGCCCAGCTTTCCTAACACATTATTCTTTTTTTTTTATTCAAATGTGCATACAATGCTTGGGTCATTTCTCCCCCCTGACTCCACCCCTTCCCTTATCACCCACCCCGCCCCCTTCCTCTCTTTCCCACCCCCTCGATACCCAGCAGAAACTATTTTGCCCTTATCTCTAATTTTGTTGAAGAGAGAGTATAAGCAATAATAGGAAGGAACAAGGGTTTTTGTGAGTTGAGATAAGGATAGCTATACAGGAAGTTGACTCACATTAGTTTCCTATGCATGTGTGTTACCTTCTAGGTTAATTCTTCTTGATCTAACCTTTACTCTAGTTCCTGGTCCCCTTCTCCTATTGGCCTCAGTTGCTTTTAAGGTATCTGCTTTAGTTTCTCTGCGTTGAGGGCAACAAATGCTAGCTAATTTTTTTAGATGTCTTACCTATCCTCACCCCTCCCTTGTGTGCTCTCTCTTTTATTTTGTGATCAAAGTCCAGTCACTTTGTTGTGTTTGCTCTTGATCTAATGACCGCATATGAGGGAGAACATACGATTCTTGGTCTTTTGGGCCAGGCTAACCTCACTCAGAATGATGTTCTCAAATTCCATCCATTTACCAGCAAATGATAACATTTCATTCTTCTTCATGGCTGCATAAAATTCCATTGCTAATAAATTATTCTTAATTTAACATTTTTTTGTTACTAAATAGCATGCAAATATATTAGCTTTTTGCATGCTCTTTGAATTAACAACAATGTTTTACAGATTACTCATTAGTATGTTAAATTAAATCTTTAGCATGTGTTCTTTTTATATTTGCTTAAGAATCGAGGTTTTACAAGTTTGCCATTTCAATATTTTTAAATATTTTATATTTTTAAAAATTATATTTTTAAACATAAAGATAATATAAGAAGAGTCCATAAATAAATCTATGCATTTTCAAACAATTTTTGAAAAGGGTATCAACAACATTTAATAAAGAGAAGTGCTCTTTACAATATATAACATTAGAACAATTGGATATTCACATGCAAATGATTCAGATTGGACCCCTAACTCACATGATATGCAAAAATTAACCCCAAATGTGTTACAAATCTAAATGTAAAAGCTAAAACTCTTAGAAGGAAATATAAGAATAAGCCTTTATGACTTTGGGTCAGGCAATAAGGTTTTAAATATACCACCAAAAGCACAATCACCCCAAAAGAACTTTTAAAACTACACTTGATTAAAACTAAACACCATTCATTAGAGAACATTCAGCATTCAGCATTATTATTCATTAAGAAAATGTAAATAAAACCATAATGAGATACCCTTTCACATTTACTACTGTAGCTATAACTTTTAAAAAAGAGAGAGGATAACAGACATTGGTAAAAATATGGACAAGATGTGAATACATTACTGGTAGGAATTTAAAAAGGTTCAGTCACTGTGGAAAACACTCTGGCTACCAGAGGACCCACAATTCTTTCCTGGGTTTATTCTCAAGAGAACTGATAACATATGCTCAGGCAAAAAAAAGTATGTACAGATGTTCATACCAGAATTATTCAAGATACACAAAAAATTGAAAGAACCTACATATCTATCAGCAAATGAATAGATAAACAAAGTGTAGTATGTACATACAATGAATATTTATACTTACATAAACTAAGAAGTAATGATACATGGCACAACATGGATGTAGTTTGAAAAGGTTATGCTGTTTGAAAAAAGCTACTTACCAAAGGCAGTATATATTATGATTCTATTTATAGAAATTGTTCAGAATAGGTTAATACATAAAAATGAAAGATTATACAGCTTGGCATGATGGCACATAATTGTAATCCTAGCACTAGGGAGGCTGAGGTAAGAAGATCTCTATTTCAGTGTCCTCATTTTCTCAAGAAAACAGTACATTACGGTTACAAAGGAATGAGCAAACCATTCATTTCCACTCTGAAAATTGAGGAACACTGCTAACAAATATGTGGTCTCATTTTGGAGTGATGGAAATATTCTATAATTAGGGAGTGGTGATAATTGAATAACATCACAAGCACCCTGACAACACTGCACTGCGCAGTTTAATATGGTCAATTTTATGTTATGTGAATATTATTTCAATAAAAAAATTGTCAAAAATTTAGCCAGCTATGGAAAAATTTTACTATTTTTCAGATTTAATGTTCCATACGAAGGGATAGGTTTCTCTTCTTGCAAACTTTATGCTACATTTATTCTGATTTCCTTTTTCTTTGTCCTACTTCACATTCAGGTAAAACGGATCCTGAATTCAGTCCCAGCTCTCCTTAGGTGCAGTCTAAGAGCATTCTTGCCCTCACAGAGGCCTGCTGGGAGATATGCGTATAAGCAATCTTGCAAGCAGGTCTGCTGATTTCAGTCATGGGAACCTTGCAATAGCCCATAAACTAACTCCGGCCCTTCTCATCTTTGGTCTGAGAACAAGTCTACTGACCCAGGGATCTTCCAGGAGTCATGCTTACCATGAGCCCAGAGGCAGGCCTGCAGACCTCGGTCTCGCAATAGTTCCTGAAGCAATCCCAAATCTTGATTTCTACTGCCTCAAGCTATAGTCTAGGGTCAGTGCTACCTGCCTAGAGACCCATTCAGTGACCAAGTAGGAATCCTTCAGGGCCTCGAGAAAGCCACACGCATCCATATACCTGGTAAGAGAAACACCATCTGTGAACTGTGAAGCAGATCCTCATCCCAGAAGACTCCTACTGACAAAGGTCCTGAGAACAGTCAAATTAACACAGTGAACAGAAAAAAAAAAAAAAATCCAACCAAAGCTCCTTGATGGCAATCTCAGGATACTTCTGTACTTCTGATGGGATTATAGCATGATGTGGTCATTTTGGGGTGTACTTTGGCAATATTTGGTCAGTTAAGTACATGTCTCAGATTCAACAATCCCACTTTCATGTATGTATCCCCCAAAAGAATTTATTTAAGTATAACGCAATATGTAAAAAGACATTTATCAAAGCATAATTTGTGGTGGTGGTACAAAGGACACTATCTTGTTTCTATCATTTGGGAAGTGAAAATATTAAATATGGAAGGTAATCACCAAAGAGTGCTATTTTCTAATAAGGTACAACCAATAAAATACGTACGTGAAAACAAGGAAGATTCTTTTAAAACTAAACTAGCAATGACTGAAAATAGTAAGAAACAGGCAAGACATATATCATTAAACTATTCATATAAATTAAAAATACACACATAGGACCTTCATTTCCAGTAATGACACTCAAAGAAAT